CTGCAAAGAAGACATACAAGTGGCCAACAGACAATGAAAAAGTGCTCAACATCACTTGGCGTCAGGGAAATACAAATCAAAACCACAATGAGATACCACCTCACACCAGTCAGAATGGCTAAAATGAATAAGTCAGGAAACGACAGATGTTGGCGAGGATGTGGAGAAAGGGGAACCATCTTACACTGTTGGTGGGAATGCAAGCTGGTGCAGCCACTCTGGAAAACAGTATGGAGGTTCCTCAAAAAGTTGAAAATAGAGCTACCCCATGACCCAGCAATTGCACCAGTGGGTATTTACCTCAAAGATACAAATGTAGTGATCCGAAGGGGCACCTGCACCCCAATGTTTATAGCAGCAATGTCCACAATAGCCAAACTATGGAAAGAGCTGAGATGTCCATTGATAGATGAATAGAAAAAGAAGATGTGATATATATAATATATATATAATGGAATATTACACAGCCATCAAAAAATGAAATCTTGCCATTTGCAATGATGTGGATGGAACTAGAGGGTATTATGCTAAGCGAAATAAGTCAATCAGAGAAAGACAATTATATGATCTCACCGATATGTGGACTTTGAGAAACAAGGCAGAGGACCATAGGGGAAGAGAAAAAAATGAAATAAGATGAAACCAGAGAGGGAGACAAACCATAAGAGACTCTTAATCTCAGGAAATAAACTGAGAGTTGCTGGAGTGGAGGGGGGTGATAGGGATGGGGTGGCTGGGTGATGGACAATGGGGAGGGCATGTGCTGTGGTGCACTATGTATTGTGTAAGACTGATGAATCACAGACTTGTACCCCTGAGACAAATAATACATTATATGTTAAAAAAAAAAATGAATCGTGGATCACGACCTCAAAAACTAATGATGTATTGTATGGTGACTAACATAACATTAAAAAAAAAAAAGGAACCCGCCGTGTTTAACCCATGGAAAACACTTGAAAAGTTTTACAAGGGGAAATTACCCAATTTCGCAGTACCCAATCTAGAGGAGTCCCCATGGAGAATGGTTTGTTTCCCATCTTGCGATCCCATTAGGAGTTACCCCATACCTGTTACAGAGAGGTGACTATGAAGGCGTCCCTACATATCAGCTCTCCCCTGTGAACCAAGGCATCCCATGGTTTCCACCTCAAAGTGAAAGAGTAGCCTAACATCTTGGGTTGAGGAGGGATCAGGCCACTGGGAGTAGCCACTCTTACCCATCCATCACCTGATCCTTCTTTTCTCCTCTCGATTTCCTCCCCCAAAATCTGGCTCAATCATAATGTCTTAGCAAGGTTAACAGTTTAAACTTTGATTCAATTATATTCCCTCGCCTTACCCCTGGGCACTTTTTTCTGTCCGTATACCTGAAGTCCCATTTGCAAGCATGGCCCTGTTGAGGGGTGCACACCCCAAGATTTAGCATCATCATAATTTCATATTTCTGTTGTTGGAACAAGAAAGCCTCAACTATATGACCCATTAAAGTCCCAGCCTCTAATGCAACCAATCGAGGAATTGGCTGGGGTCTGTAATTCCCTCCTTAATGCTCAACGTATTCTGAGGGAAGTAAATGCCCAGAAAACATTGGGTTCCCTCCAACTTATCAAACAAAGAGGTAGCTCTAATCCTGCTTGCTTGGATTTTGATTCCTGGCCATGATTAAACCTAAATTGTACCTAACAGAAAAACCTATCTTACCAGGCAGCAAAAATGAGGAGAAGATTCTCCTCCTGACCTAAGTTCTCACAAAAGACATTTTTAAATGTAAAAACCTTGTATCTACATAGGAACACTCTTCCTAAAATGAATCCCTGATTAAAAGGGCATAGTGAGGGGCGTCTAGGTGGCTCAGTCGTTAAGCGTCTGCCTTCGGCTCAGGTCATGATCCCAGGGTCCTGGGATCGAGCCCCGCATCGGGTTCCCTGCTCAGCGGGAAGCCTGCTTCTCCTTCTCCCACTCCCCCTGCTTGTGTTCTTGCTCTCACTGTCTTTCTCTCTGTCAAATAAATAAATAAAGTCTTAAAAAAGGGGGGGCATAGGGATGCCTGGGTGGCTCAGTCGGTTGGGCGTCTGCCTTCGGCTCGGGTCATGATCCCAGGGTCCTGGGATCGAGTCCCGCATCGGGCTCCCTGCTCCGCGGGGAGCCTGCTTCTCCCTCTGCCTCTGCCTCTCTCTCTCTCATGAATAAATGAATAAAATCTTTAAAAAAAAAGGGGGGGGGCATAGTGACCATCAGAGACTGGAAGGGCCCTGCTATAGGCAAAGTCCTTAGGTGGGAGAAAGCCATTTAAGAAAAGCCAATGAACAGAAAGCAGAACTGGGCAGGGTTAGGCCAACATACCCTTCTTTTGAGGAAGGGGGATTGACAAAACCTTTGTCCAGAAGCCTGTCACTTGAGACTTAAGACTTAAGAACTATTCACCTTTAACCAGCTGACAGGTGTCCATTTGTGAGAAGAGGTCACCTAAGAGAAAGACATCTCCTAGGTAAGAAAAGAAAAGAGTCTGCTTTTACTCACCCTTCAGTGAAAGTGATCCCGGGTTTCAGCACCAAAATGAAGCTGGAGAGCTAGGTTCTTGTCTCATGGAGGTGAAGAATGAATCTTGCAGACAACGGAGAGTGAGTAGAACGAGAGAAGTTTATTAAGCGAAGATACAGAAAAAGCTCTCAAGATTGAGAGGGTTCCCCACAGGGTTGCCCTCTCTCAGCATTTTTTAATCCATGAAATTATTCCATAGCAGATACTTCATTTTTTGAAAATTCTGCCTATTATGTGGAGGGCCACCCTACAAAAGGAGATTGACAGCTTGCTGAATTTCTCTCCTGGTAGTTTTTTGTTTGTGTGTTTGTTTTAGATAACCTTAGGAAACACTAAAAAATTCTTGGTTTTTGGGAGTTGCTTGGGTGGCTCAGTTGGTTAAGCGTCTGACTTCGGCTCAGGTCATGATCTCAGGATCCTGGGATTGAGCCCCACGTCAGGCTACCTGCTCAGAGGGGAGTCTGCTTGTCCCTCTGCCTCCCTCTGTCCCTCCCCCACCGCCCCTGCTCATGCTCTCCCTCTTTCTCTCCCAAATGAATAAATAAAATCTTTAATAACAACAAAAAAAATTCTTGGGATTTTGCTAAAATGACTTCTACTGTCTGGAATCCTAATTCTGTTGGATTGGGATTTATAAACAACTTGTAAAGGCCTAATATCAAAAACCACTTAATCTTCATCCATGCTTCAGAAGAAAATAGTTTAAGGGAAAATACATATTTGAGAGTAAAAATCAATAGCTGCTACTGTAATGAAAAATAAGTCATGACAATTATTGTGTAAAACAATGATTTAAAGATTTTTTTTCTGGAGCTAGTGACACACAGAGAGCAATTTTACAGAAATAAAAGCACAGAAGTATGAACTATTGAGGGATATTGGTGATCAGCAAATCTCCTTGCCCTGAAAATAGGGTGTATGAAGGGGAGTAGTAGAAAATAAATTTGGAAAGGCAGTTGGAGATAAGGGCCTTGCATGATAAACCCTTAGATGTCATTGACTGCCGGGTGCCTGGGTGGCTCAGTCACTTAAGCGTCTACCTTCTGCTCAGGTCATGATCCCGGGGTCCTGGGATCAAGTCCCGGGTCAGGCTCCCCACTCAGCGGGGACTCTGCTTCTCCCTCTGCCTCTGCCTGTCGCTCTGCCTACTTGCGCTCTCTCTCTCTGTCAAATAAATAAAATCATTTTTAAAAAATTTAAAAAAAGATGTCATTGACCACTTACTCTCTCTCAGGTTTTGAGTAAAAGTGGTGATATAGAAGTGATTAAGGACCAAGTTCCCCACCTAGTTTTGCCATTTAGTAGCTAAGCTTTTTCAAGAGATTTCGTTTCTTTAAGCTTTTGTTTTCTTATCTACAGAACAGGGTTAATGATAGTACTTACTACAAAGGGTTATTGTGAAGATTAAATAAGATGATGTATGATGAGCCTGGTGCCTGGCACATAGCAACTCTTCAATAAATATTAGTGACTCCCTGGTTAGAACTGTGCTTCAGGAATATTAATCTGGCAGCTGTGTATAAATGGTGTAGGCATATGGCTTTCCTTTTTAAAACAGAACCAGGGTCTTCCCAGGTATGTGCCAAAAATATTTACCACCCAGTTCCAGCAACTCCCCACCTCTTCCAAACTCCCTCATCCTCCACCACACTCTCAACAGCAAAAGTGCTGAGCAAGGACTAGGGAGGAGGAGGCTGTGAAGTAGGAAATCTCCCCCCAGGGGATGGGGAAGAGTCAGACCCAGTTGGGGTCATCTCTCTTGGGCTAACAGGGGAGAAGTAATTTTCAATCAGAGACAGGAGTCCTGAAAACTCCATGAGGAGGAAAGTCTTGAAGCTCTTCCAGATCAGCTACATCAGAGATGATGGATGTGTATGGCAGGGAGTAGGGGAGCAGGGAAGTTGCAGAAAGCCACATTGCCAGGAGTGACCAGAAGGACATTTTGTAATGTGTTTATAATTTGTTTTATTTTTTTTAAAGATTTTATTTATTTCTTTGACAGAGCAAGACACAGCGAGAGAGGGAACACAAGCAGGGGGAGTGGGAGAGGGAGAAGCAGGCTTCCCTTGGAGCAGGGAGCCCAATGCGGGGCTCGATCCCAGGACCCTGGGATCATCACCTGAGCCGAACGCAGATGCTTAACCACTGAGCCACCCAGGGGCCCCTACAATTTCTGTTTTAAAATGTGTTAAATAATACTTAGTTTCATTAGTTTTTTAAAAAATTTTATGAATTCTGGGTGCCTGGGTGGCTCAGTTGGTTAAGCGACTGCCTTCGGCTCAGGTCATGATCCCGGAGTCCCTGGATCGAGTCCCGCATCGGGCTCCCTGCTCGGCAGGGAGTCTGCTTCTCCCTCTGACCCTCCCCCCTCTCATGTGCTCTCTCTCTCATTCTCTCTCTCTCAAATAAATAAATAAAAAATCTTTAAAAAAAAATTTATGAATTCTGAACATGTAAAAAGTAAAATCCAGTATTTTGGTTTTGCAGGAAATTAAAACAGAAACATTAATAATACAATTTTGCCCTAGTATCATAACCACTCTCGGAGAGTGGAATCAAAGAAGTGTGATAGACCATTGAGGACAGTTATAAAAATAAGGGAGATTCTGTAGTTTTCCTTTGTCTTCCTTTGATATCAGCACCAAGTACCAAAAACTGGACTTTATTTCATTAAGTGTTCAGAATTTATAATGCACAAAAAAATTTGAGAAGCTGCTAACTCACATGCCTCCAAGCAAAAACCCTCTTCTATTGTTGCTTCTAATTTGCTTGACCAGAAAACCAGATGAATTAGTTAAGACTCTTTCAGTGCAGACACCCAACTCAACCAGGCTTAAGGAAAGAGTAATTTATTGCCTCCTGTAACTGAAAAGTCCGAGTTTTAGTCATGACTGGTCTCAGAGGCCCAAATGATAACATCAGAGCTGGGTTCTTCCTCTGTCTCTGTCTCTCCATCTCCTTGCTCTGATTTCCTTTGTGTTGGTTTCACTTTCCAGCTGGATTCTCCCCATGATATCCCACATCAGTCTGGCCTTACATCTTTTTTTTTTTTTTAGTAACATTATCCTATAGGATATAGTTCATGTAAAAATAGACAATTTAATGAAGATAAGGGTTGATTCTAATGTTCAACCTTGCTAGAAATCTAAGAATTTTGCGGGGGGCTATGTATGAACAAAGCTATTACTAAAGATAATTCTGTGTGTAAGGAGTTTGGGGGGCTGGACACTCATTCACAGCAGGTGAGGAACACATTTAGACAACCTTTCAGGAAATCGGTAGCAGGATTTTGTTTGTTGTAACAGAAACTAAGCTTAAACTAGTTTAAGTTAAAAAAGGGAATTTTTGGCTTATGCATTGAGAAGTTCAAGGAATGGAAGTGGCTTTATGCAAAGTTGGATCCAGTAGTTCAAATGATTTGTTCTGTCTCTAATTCTGCCTCTGTCCCTTTAATTGCTTGCCACTATGTGGCTGTATTCTCAGACAGGCTCTCTCTACATGGTGAAGAGAGCTGCTACAGACCCAAATTCACATCGTCCTTGCTGCTTACTGTCTGGGTCAAGGGGATGGAGTTCTCTTGCTGACCAGGCCAGGTCACCATGTCAGCTGGAGCCTGGGAGCTGGATCAGCTCCATCTGAGCCACATGTTTGGGGTAGGATTACTATAGAATGGGAAAGGATTCTCCAAAGGCAGGAGAGCTGGGAAGGCAAATATATGTCCATACCAAGGACAACTTGGCAGTATGTACCCAAAGTCTTTAGAATATACACATCTCTGAGCTTAGCAACACCAATTTTGGGACTTAATCCTAAAGAAAGAACCAGAAACAAACTTTTACTCCCGCTGTGCCTGTAGGGATGGGTAGGTTGCAGAGAAGGAGGCCAATCCAGCCTTACATCTTAACAACCTTGCGACCCCATAAACGCTGTAGGCAAAGTTCTAGGTAGGACTCTCAATGGCCCAATTTGGGCCACATTCCCATTTCAGCCTCAGTCAGTCTGGCCAAGGACTGGCCAGATCTTGGCCATGTGCCCATTCTTGGACCTTGTGGGTAATATCAGTCCTACCAAAGCCACAAAACTGAAAGTTAGAGAGACCTGGTTTCCCCCAAAGCAAATCAGGGTGTTTTTGCCTACAGAAGAAAGAATAGACAGTGAACTAGCAAAAACAATAGACATTCACTACCTCAGATAACCAAACCTTTAGAACTGCTTCTAGAATCATGGCAAATTTGCTCTAAGTGAGGATCTAGGAATGTTTCCCAAAAATAAAGTCCATCAACTCTGGTATATAAACTTTGTGACATATATTTTGGTAGTTCCAAGTGGTTTTGCAGAGCCGAGGGCATAGAGATGTTCTTTTACAGAATCATTTTCCTCTGTCAGCTCTTTAAGTGCAAGCATTTTTTAGGGTTTTATTCTCTGAATAATTAAGTTGTCACATAAATGATCTCTGGAGAAGATGAGTTGTGCCATAATCTGACAAGCTGTATTTCTCTCTTTCAGAATTGCACCAGCAAATCATTATGTTTCCAAGAGAACCTTGCAGGATACTTAAGCCACCTGGAGTACAGATAGAACAATTCCTAAGTGTAGAATTTAAGAACTAAAGGGATCTGGGATTGCTTTCCAGAATGCAGCTAATTTTCAAAAAGAAGAGTCAATCAATAAATATCAATGGAACACTTTCATTACTGATTGCTTCCACAGTATTCATATCCCCGTTTTTCCAACGATAGTATCCACATTTTGCTTAAGGCAAGCCATGCTTCCACAGTATTCATATCCCCGTTTTTCCAACGATAGTATCCACATTTTGCTTAAGGCAAGCCATTCATAGCCAAATGGGTATGATAAATCCCACCTCTGGCTTTTGAGGTAGGGTCTAATTGACTTATGGCAATGCTTCCGGTCATGATAATTCATTCAAGGATGGAAATGCCCCAATTCAAGCCAGTTATCTCAATTCTTAGACAAACTATTTGAATGAGTAAGAATTTCTCTTTCTCTCTCCCACCCCCCCTTTAATTGGACATAAATCCACAAGCACATAACCTCAGGAACTATTGGCAGCCATCCTGCATCAGGAAGGGAGAGTTTTCCTGAGAATGAAGCCAGTCTCAAGAAAAACTAAAACAGAAAAACCCGGTCACATTGTTTGAGTTGCTGGTCACATTGAGTTGCTAGATCATGCCATGCCTGAAGCGATATACTTGTTCACTTTTCAGTAATGTGCACCAATAAATTCCTTTTACTTTTTAAAGTTAGTTTGAGTAGAATTCTCTGTTACCTGTTATTCTGACACCAACTCTAACTGCAAAACAATTCTGATGCTAACCACCCAGAGTTAGTGTTAGACTTTGCAGGTTTAAGGGCACAATCCTCAGCAGGACTGCCCTTACTTCAGACATCAGCCACACTTTGGGCACCCCCAGACCACCACACTTTTGACCATTTGGTGAAAATTCAGGGGTTCTCATGACCCCCTCATGTTCAGAAATTCACAAGAATGACTCACAGAACTGAGGAAAGTGCTATACTTACAACTTGTTTTATTTTAAAAATACAAATCAGGGTCAGCCAAATGAAGACACACAGGGTGAGGTCTGAGTGGGTCTTTTTTTTTTTTTAATTTGTTTTTAGAGAGGTGGGGGAGGGGCAGGGGGAGAGGGAGAGAGAGTCTTAAGCAGACTCCTCACTCTGCACAGAGCCCGATGTGGTGCTTGATCTGACAACCCTGAGATCAGGACCTGAGCAGAAACCCAGAGTCAACTGCTTAACCAAAGGCACCACCCAGGCATACCATGGGAGGGTCTTAAACACAGAACTTCCATGCCTCCTCCCTGTAGAGGCCAGACATATCTAACCTTCCTAGCATACCTATGCTCGCTAACCAGGAACTTCTCTGAGTTGCAGTGTCCAGAGATTTTACTGGGATTTCATTACGTAGGCATGATTGTTTGGATAGTTGGCTAAACTCAATCTCCAGCTATGTTAGAGATGTTTCCTCAAGCTCTTCCTCCTTTTCATCCCCTCTGCCTCAGTGGTAGTTCATTCTCTTATCACCCACTTAATTCCCACTCTCATTCTATGCCACATTCCCACAGCTTAGGCCTCACTCTATCAGCTTCCCTGCTTTGATTAAGCCCCAGGGGACTGGCTTATTCTGGAACAGCAGGGGTAGAATTTCTTTGAGCCTATTTAACCTGCAAACTCTGAAGACATTCTTGAAGATCCCCATTATCTGAAACAGTAGATAGTTGAGATACTTAGGTTGTTTCTCATTACTCCTCCTTCTTGTAAAATCTCTTTTTGAGGTTCATGTCATTCATCTACTCATCTTTTCTCCCCTCCCAGTGCAATTATCTTCCAAACTCTTGGCCATTTTCCTCATTCTTTAACAAGCACCTGGCTCACAGCCTTCCTCCCCACCTCAACTTCTGCCATTCTCCTGGGCAATTCTAAGGTCCATATGGCTTCTCAGTTTCATGTTCTCATTATCTCCAATCCAGTGAATTTCTTCTCAACTCCACATCATCCATAATCCTCTTCTCTTTTCATGCCACAATCTCTCCCTAGGCTCTCTTATCAATTCTTATGACTTTACGCACAATCTGTGTGTTCATGACTCTCTTATTTTTCTAGCCCAGTCCTCTCTTCTGAAATCCATACCTTTATCTATATTCAACTGCCTTTCTGGCATATCCCTTTACATGTTTCATATTCAGGCATCTCATACTTATCCTCTCAAAACTTACCTATTTCTCCTTTGACTCTCTGGCAAACCTGCTGCATTTCAGCAAATGATCCCACCAGCTATTCAGTTGTGCAATCTACCTTCTCCATCCCTTCATTTATTCTATCACTAAGTCCCATTTTACCTCTAAGATATATCTTGAATTTGTTTATTTCTCACCATCCCCACTATCAACCCAGCCCAACCCATCATCACCTTTGCCTGGACTACCGCAACAATGTCCATCTGGTCTCTCTGCATTCATTCTTGCATCCTTTCAATCCATTCTTTACATAGCAAGTATCATGACTGGGTTTTTTTTTAAGATTTATTTATTTATTTATTTATTTTGGGGGGCAGGGGGGCAGAGGGAGAGAGAATCTTGAGCAGATTCCTTGCTCAGCACAGAGCCAGATGTGGGGCTCAATCTCAGGACTCTGAGATAACGACCTGAGCCGAAACCAAGAGTCGGCCGCTTAACCGACTGCACCACCCAGGCGCCCTGCATCATGACTTTTTAATTTTTTTATTATTATTTTTTAAAGATTTTATTTATTTATTCATTTGAGACACAGAGATACAGAGAGAGAGAGAGAGCATGAGCAGGGGGAGAGGCAGAGGGAGAAGGAGAAGCAGGTTCCCCACTGAGCCAGGAGGCCGATGCGGGGCTCGATCCCAGAACCCTGGGATCATGAGCTGAGCTGAAGGCAGACACTTAACCGTCTGAGCCATCCAGGTGCCCCTCATGACTTTTGTAAATATAAATTTTATCTTGTCGTTCTACTTAAAACCTTTTAGAAGCTTCCTATTTCTCTTAGGATAATGTTTGAGATGCATGATGTGGTTTTCACAATCTTTCTAACTTGTTCTTTTGCCACAACCCCTCATTCACTGGGCCAGTTGCACTGGCCTTCTCTCTTCTCTGAAGATGCCAAGCTCCCTTATGTCTCAGAGAATTCATACACATAATTCCTTCTCATTTGAACATTCTCCATGCCCTAATCCCACCTCCATATACCTCTTACTGTGTGACAGGATCTATGCCCTGAATAAGGGAACACCTCTCTTCCCTTAAGAAGTTCACAGTTTAATAAGAGACATGCAAAAAAATTCACCACTTTATAATAAATGCAATAAAAGTATGGCCACAGGAAGAAATATTTATCTATCTCTGAGAGTTAGGAGAGGGCACTTAAATAGAAGAACCAACATGCCTCAAAGACAGAGGCAAGGACATGAGCAGATACAAGAAGTTTGGTACTATTGGAGAGTTATGGCAAGAAGGTGGCAGGAGGCACCTTGGGTGCTGTGTTAAGGGGCTTGAAGTTTATCCAAAATGCAAAGAGGGTGTCCCCTACAAAGAGTTTTATGGAGAGGCATGAATAGTGTTATCAAATTGGTAGTAGTTTGAGAAAAAGGCCTGGATAAAAGAAGGTGAAGGCAAAATGTCAAATAGGAGAATACTATAATAGTCCCAGCAACTGATGATGGCAACTGAATAAAGGCAAAGGTAGTGGGAATAGAGAGAAGGTGGGTTGAAGATGCATTTAAGAGGTAGAATTGATAGGACTTGGTGACTGAACAAAACAGGTAAATTCCTTATCCTTATGGAGCTTGCATTCTAGAATGGAAGGCAGATAATATGTCCAATAAACAAATGCATACATGATATGATACCTTGTAGTATTATGGCCTGTGAAAGAAAATAGAGCAGAGTAAAATCACAGCTAGTGAAGGAGAGAGTTATATAGATAGAGTGGTCCCTATGAGGAGGTGACATTTGAACAGAAAAGAAATGAGCCATGTGAATATATTTGAAGAAAGACTATTTCAAGTAGAGGGAACTACAGGTGCAAATGTCCAGAGAAGGGATATCCATTCAGATAATGGAAAGAACTTTGGGTTTTTTTGGTTTGTTTTTTTTTAAGAGTTGTTTGTTTATGAGAGAGAGAGAGAGCAAGCACAAGTGTGTGGAGGGGCAGAGGGAGAAGCACACTCCCCACTGAGCAGGGAGCCTGATGTGGGGCTTGATCCCAGGACCTGAGATTATGACCTGAGCTGAAGGTAGATGCTTAACTGACTGAGCCACCCAGGCGCCCTGGAATTTATTTTAGTGTAATGAAAATCACTGGAAGGTTCTGAACAGGGAAGTGGCATATTCCAACTTACACTGTAAAAGGATTACTCCCAATACACTATAGTGAGGGAAGTGTGGAAGCTGGGTAGCCAGTTAGGAGGAAAGGATCTAGGTAAAAGATGATGGTGGTTTGGGCTATAGTAGAAGTGATCAAGGTGGTGAGAACTAGTCAGAACTGGGATATGTTTAGAAGGCTAGCTGATGTAATGTGTTGATGGGTTGAATGAGGGTAGAGAGGAGTCAACAATGATCCCAACATTTCAGGCTTGAGCAACAGACTGAATCATAGAACCATTTACTGAGATGGAGAAAATTGAAGGGACTTAGGTTTGATAAATGCAAGAATTGTTTTAGACATGTTTAGGTTGGAATGCTGTTAGATGTTCAAGTAGAGTAGATAGTAGAGATAGGAGTCTGGAATTGAGGGGAAAGGTTGAGCCTGTAGATATAATTTTTGGAATCATTTAACATGACATTTCAGATGATAGAATTGGTTAAGATTTTCTAAGATGAATGTAAGCGAAAACTGAGTAGAAGTCGAAGGATGGAACTAGAATACTCCAGTACTTAAAGGTTGAGAAGAGAAAGACAATCCAACAAAGAAACTAAGAAGGAGTGGCTAGTGAGATGAGAAGAAAATCAGTAGAGGATGGAAGCCAGGTAAAGATAGTTGTTCAAGAAAGAGGAAATGATCACTGGCCAAGCTGCTCTTGGGTCAAGTAAGTTGAGAATTAGATTTGGCAGTATGAAGGTTATTGGTGACCTTGATAAGAGAAGTCTCAGAAGAGTAGTAGGGATAAAAGACTCATAAGAGATTTTATGTATCATAAAGGTTAAGATACAGTGGAAAGAAAGAAAGTGAGAAGTATCACCATATAAAGGGAACAGAGAAGTAGTGCAGTAGCTGGACAGACATGCTGTCAAGGGAGAGGCTTTTTGTTGTTGTTGTTTAAGAAGGGAGGGAAGATTGGTGATGCAGGAGAGGGTAAAATAAGTGTGGAGGCAAAGTCCTTGAGTAGGTGAGTTCTCTAGACACTTGAATATTTAGGCCTACAGCTCAAGAAAGATGTGGAGACTAGAGATGCAAATTTTTGAAATGATTAACATATACAGAAGGGACAAACGTGGGAATGAATAAGTTGTTTGCGGAGAGTGAAAAACAGAAGCCAAAGACAGAACCCTGAGGTATCAAAAAATTTAAGGGAACAAGGGGAGGAGATCCAATAAGGAATACTGAGAAGGAATGTCCTCTATTTGCCAGCTATTTTTATGCCCATAGCACATGGCACATTGTTTTATCTCTAATGCCTGGAAAGCCTTCCCTTCCCTGGATTCATACCTGTCTCTCATAGTACTTTATGCAAATCTTTATTAGCACTTATTTCACTGCATTTACATGTATTATATGTAGTCTTCTTCCATCAGCCTGAAGGTCCCCTCTGCCAAAAACTTTATTCATCTTTTTATCTACAACTCTTAACATAATGCATAGTAGGTGCTAAATAAATGATGCATGGAGCAGGGGGAAGTTAATCCACAAATAGAATGTGTAATATATATAAGCATTAGAAAGTGTCGATATGCATTTTATGACTTTCTAAAAGAAATATATGTTGGAAAGAACTCACCAGTGAAGCCATCTGGAGTTTTCTTTGTAGAAAGATTTTAAATTATGCATTCACTTTCTTTAAAATATAAAATATAGAATTTTCTATTTATTATTATTTTAGTAAGTTTTGTTTCTCAAAATTTTCCATTTCATCTAGATTGTCAAATGTATTGGTAAAAAGTTTCTTATAATATCCTCACATTTTTATTGTCTATGGGACCTGTACTAATGTCCCCTTTTTTATTGCTGATATTGGTAATGTGTTTTCTTGTATTCTTCCTTGATTGGTCTTGCTAGGAGTTGATTAATCTTTTTAGTCCTTTTGAAGTTTAATAAGTTTTGGCTTTGTTGACTCTTTGTTGGTTAATGAGTGTTGGCTTTTGTACATCTGCTTTTTATTTCATTGATTTATGATTTTATCTTTATTTCCTTTCATTTATTTCCTTTTTAAACTTTCTTTGCATAAATTTGCTGTTTCTTTCTCTACATTTCCCTGTGAGCTCTAAATCCTATGGGTAGTTCTCTAGCAAGAGTAGTGCATTAGTGGAATCCCAAGTCTCAAAGGAATGAGCCTGATTTATTAGCCCATGATGCTCAGTCATTAGCTAAGAATGGGTTGTGAGAATGGCCTCAGTTGTGAACATATTGGTGGATCCAGGTCAGTAGTTGAGACTACCAATTAACTATGTTCTGCACGGAAGGGAATCCAGTGGCCCATTTTCAGAACCACCAGAATTCAACTCCTTTGCCCCACAGATCTATTTCTTCATTCAGGGGGTGCCTTGGTGGCTCAGTCGGGTAAGTGACCGACTCTTGATTTCAGTTCAGGTCATGATTTCGGGGTCCTAGGATCGAGCTGTATGTAGGGCTCTGTTCTCCACATTCAGTGGGAAGTCTGCTTGAGGATTTCTCTCCGTCTCTCTCTCCCCCTGCCCCTTCTCCCACTTGCACTCTCTCAAATAAATAAATCTTTTTAAAAAATCATTATTTCTTGGGGCGCCTGGGTGGCTCGGTTGGTTAAGCATCTGCCTTTGGCTCAGGTCATGATCCCAGGGTCCTGGGATCGAGTCCCGCATCCAGCTCTCTGCTCAGTGGGGAGCCTGCTTCTCCCTCTCCCCTTGCTGCTGCTCCCCCTGCTTGTGCTCTGTCTCTCTGTCAAATGGATAAATAAAATCTTTGGAAAAAAATCATTATTTCTTCATTCAGGTTTGGGGAGAAGCTCTTCTATGGTTCCCACATGGCCTTTCTTCCTGAAGGAAAACATAGAAAAGGAAGGTTAGTGGGATGGACTACAGCAATTGATCTAGATGACATAACTGATACTCATCCTCTCCCTTTTCCACTTCCACTCTAAATTTCTCTCACACTCAGTTATCATCTTAGCAGGTCTTGGTGGCTTTTGTGGTGACATAATCCAAAGCTTTATTCCTGGTCTGAGCTTTTGGTAACCATTCTCTTCTCAGGTCAGGGATGCTACATATGTTCACAGTTACAGTGGGGCAAGGGAATATCAGATGTCCAAAGGGACCATATGAATTCTGTAAAGAGCAGTGCTACCTTTTCTTACTGATCAGGGTCAATTATCATTGTCATGACTGTTAACTCCTCTCTTTGCCTACAGGTCTCAGGAATAATGAGTTCAAAGTGCAGCAGTCCGGGCACCTGGGTGGCTCAGTCGTTAAAAATCTGCCTTCGGCTCAGGTTGTGATTCCAGGGTCCTGGGATGGAGCCCCGCATCGGGCTCCCTGCTTGGCAGGGAGCCTGCTTCTCCCTCTCCCACTCCCCCTGTTTGAGTTCCCTCTCTCGCTGTCTCTCTCTGTCAAATAAATAAATAAAATTTTTTTTAATTTAAAGATTTTATTTATTTATTTGACAGAGAGAGATATAGTGAGAGAAGGAACACAAGCAAGGGGAGTGGGACAGGGGGAAGCAGGCTTCCTGCTGAGCAGGGAGCCCAATGTGGGGCTCGATCCCAGGACCCTGGGATTATGACCTGAACCGAAGGCAGACACTAAACGACTGAGCCACCCAGGCGCCCAATAAATAAAATCTTAAAAAAAAAAAAGTGCAGCAGTCATAGCTTGTAGTTCAAAGGGACCCTTGTTGTGTCCCTTAATAGAAGTACAGTCTCTTCGAAGACCAGTACTTCCAGCCCTATAGATCCCAGATTTGTGGGTATGGGAAGCACAAAATCCTCTAGTGGGTCATTGGTAATAAAAGTAAATGGGGCTATTCCTGCATCTATTCCTTGATTAGTGGGCCTAAGTATTTTTCCTACTGGGGTCATAAAGACCTTTGATTTAATGTGTATGACACATCCTGAATGATAGCACCCAATTTTTTCAGAATATTTCCCTTGAGTGGCACTTCACCTGTGCCTTTAGAAAGTCATTCCAGCCCTCTGTGAGGTCAGCTTTTTCTGGATGGTATGGTATAACCAGTGGATCCCACGGATATGGGTCCATTCCCACCCCTCTTTTACCATAAAGCAGGGGCCCTGGTTGGATGCTATGTTACATAGGATTCTATGTCTGTAGATTAGGCAGTCCATAAGCCCCAATATAGTAATGTTGGCTAAGGATCTGTGGGTGGAAAGGAAAACCCATACCCAGAATAGCTATCTATATGTGTAAGAATGAATCACTGGCTCTTCCAAGATGGAAGGGACCCAATGTAGTCAACCTGTCACCAACTAGCCAGTTGGTCTCCTTGAGTAATGGGGCCATATTAGGGGATCAGCATTGGTCTCTGTTGCTCACAGATTGGACATTAAGACATCAATAGCTGTATCAGCCTTGGAAATTAGGAGTCCATGCTTTGGGGACCTGTACATAGTCTCCATCCCTGCCACTATGGCCACTCCATTTATGTGCCTGTATTAGTTTCCTAGGGCTGCCTTTAACAAAGTAAGGTGATTTAAACAACAGATACTTACTGCCTTACAGTTCTGGAAGCTAGAAGTCTGAGTTCAAGGTGTCAGCAAGCTTGGTTCCTCTTGAGGGCTGTGAAATAAATTTCTGTCCCATGCTCTCCCCTAGCTTCTGGTGGTTTGCTGGCAATCGTTGGCATTCTTTGACTTCTGCTACATCACCCTGATCTCTGTTTTATCTGCACATGGCATTCTTTCTGTGTATCTCTGTCTTCACATGGCTGTCTGCTTATAAGAACATACTTGAATTAGGGGACCACACTACTCCAGTATGATGTCATCTTAACTTATTACATCTGCAAAAACCCTATTTCCAAATAAGGCCACATTTTAAGGTACTGGGGATTAGAACTTCAACATGAGAATTTGAAAGGGGTATAAAACATAACCCATAACAGTGCCTATAACACAATCATGCTGGTTCCAAGGTGGCCAATGATTAAGGCTGGTAATGACAACTGGATGAGTCATTTTGTCTACTTGATTGCTTAGTGCCTCTTCCCTGGTGGATGCAAGATGTGATACAAAAATCTTCACACTTCATGCTCACTCCTGTATATTCATCCACATGACTCTATCCCAGATCTCCTTGTCTTTGATCTTCTAGTCCTTTTCCTTCCAGGTCCTCTACTAGTTTCCCTACCAGGCCATTGACACCTGCCCAAGAACCTATATATATTCTTACTTCAGTCTGCTTCTCTTTTTTTTTTTTTTTAGATTCTATTTATTTATCTGACAGAGAGAGGGACATAGCGAGAGAGGGAATACAAGCAGGGGGAGTGGGAGATGGAGAAGCAGGCTCCCTGCCGAGTGGGGAGCCCGATGCGGGGCTCGATCCCAGGACCCCGGGATCATGACCTGAGCCGAAGGCAGACGCCCAACAACTGAGCCACCCAGGCACCCCTCTGCTTCTCATTATACACAAAGCAGATGATCAGGGATGATCCTTGTAACTCTACCAACTGGGAAGATTTTCCCTCTTTGCTGTTTTTCAAAGACTCTCAAGAATGTGACTATAATGCAGCCACTATCTAATTTTGGTTTGCACCCACATACTAAGCTGACTCATCCATAAACCAAACTTAGGCTTCACCCTTCTTCCTTCAGCTGGTCATGGTATTGGTGCTGCTGTAGTGGGTTACATGGGGATCTGGGCTACCTGATCATGCAGCTTACAAGTGCCCCAGTTGTGCTTGATCTCCATCCCATATGTACCATTTTCATCTTACAACAGATGCTGCTGGGTCCATCTGAACCAACAGAATCCAGTCCATAACAAGTGGTTCTCGACACATGGTTACTTGGTATACTGTGGCTAAGGGTTCTGTCTTGACCAAGGCTCAGTATCTGGTTCTCACTAGTAGCTGGTTCTTAAAATGTGTCCAATTCTCTTTTGAAGACGGCATGACCTTGCTCCAGAGTCCTAGGGACTGCACTGTGATTTTTCCACTAGGGCTTACCATAAGCTCTGTCTTAGTCAGCTTGGGCTGCCATAACAAAATACCATAGACTGGGTGGCTGAAACAACAAAAATTTATTTTCTCACAGTTCTGGAGGCCAGAGGTCTGAGATCAGGATGCCAGCATGATCAGGATCTGGTGAAAGCTCTCTTCCTGATTTGTAGACAGATATACCTTCTCACAGATACACCTTCTCCTTATAGGGCAGAGAGAGAGAGCTCTCTGTTGCCTCTTTATCATCACATTAGGGGTTAGGGCTTCAACATATGAATGGGGGGGCATTCAGTCCATAACATTCCACCCATGGCCCCCTAAAATTCTTGTCATTATTGCATGCAAAATACATTCATTCCATCCCCAAAGCCCCAAAGCTCTTAATTCATTCCAGCATCAACTCAAGTCTCGTCTGAATATCATCTAAATCAGATATAGTGAGACTGGAGCTTTGATTCATCCTGAGGCAGCTATGAATCTGTGAAATCAGACAAGTTATGTGCTTTCAAAATACAATCGTGGGACAGGCATATGATAGACATTCTCATTCCAAAAGGGAGAAGGAAAGGGTGATGATCCCAAGCAAATTAAAAATTTAGCAAGACAAAAATTCCATTAGATTTTAAGGCTTGAAAATAATCCTCCCTGGTGCAATGCTCTGCCCTCCAAGCACAGTAGGTGGCAGCATCATCCCCAAGGTTCTGCTGGGGAGTCCCACTCCCAAGGCTGTTGAAACTGAGGCAGTGGCCCTGATGATCTCCCAATCATTTCCAGGGTTATTTTTTTTTTTTAAGATTTTATTTATTTATTTGACACAGAGAGAGAAAGCACAAATAGGCAGAGAGGCAGGCAGAGAGAGAGGGAGAAGCAGGCTCTCCACTGAGCAGGGAGCCGGACGTGGGGCTCGATCCCAGGACCCAGGGATCATGACCTGAGCTGAAGGCAGTCCTTAACCGACTGAGCCACCCAGGCGCCCCTCACTTCCAGGGTCATTTTTCCCTCTTCTTGCATGTTCGCAGCCGAATAGCTCTATCATTCTGTCCTGTCAAATTCAGTAAGTCCAACAGCCTTCCTTCATTTGGTCCCATCTCCATCCCCTTCAGTTCAAATTGGCTGTGTTTCTGCTCCTATAATGCCATAAACTCTATCAATGATAATCTAGTTGTGCCATTGGTGTTCTCTTTAGAACATGCTTTCTCATTTTTTTGCAATATGGATAAGCTGAGAATTTTCTAAATCATCAAGTTCTGGTTCCTTTTTGCTTAACAATTCCTTCTTCAACTCATCTCTCTCCTTTTGCGTTTTACTATAAGCAATCAGGAGGAACCAAGCCCCTCCTTCAACACTTTGCTTAGAAATCTCCTCAGCTAAATATTCAGTTTTATCGCTCACAAATTCTACCTTCCACAAAACACTAGAAGACAGTACAGCCAAGTTTTTTTGCCACTTTATAACAAGGTTCACCTTTCCGTCAGTTTCTTATTTCTACCTGATATCTCACCAGAATTGCCCTTAATGTCCATATTTCTAGCATGTACTTTAAAACTCTTCCAACTCCACCCATTATCGAGTTCTAAAGCTGCTTCCATATTTTGAGTTATTTGTTTCAGCTGCATTCCACTGTGGGTGTTAAGATCTGTATTAGCCAGGGATCTCCAGAGAAACAGAACCATTATAGTTATACAGATGTAGGTGTAAGTATAGATTATATAGCTATAGCTATTGATTTATTATAAAGAATTGACTCACATGATTATGGAAGCCGAGAAGTCCCAAGATCTGCAGTAATCAAGCTGGAGACCCAGGAGAGCTGATGTGTAGTTCCAGTCTGAATCCAAAGGCCTGAGAACCAGGAGGGCCAGTGAGGGCCAATGACATAAGTTCCAGTCTGAAAGTTGGCAGGTTCAAGATCCAAGAAGAGCTGATGTTTCAGTCCGAGCCTGAAGGCTGGGAAAGACCAGCATCCTAGCTATACAATCAAGCAGGAATTCCCTTTTACTCAGTCTTTTTGTTCTATTCACGTCTTCAATTGATTGAATGAGGCCCACTGACATTAGGGATGGCAATCTGCTTTATTCACTCCATCAATCCGCTTTACTCATTCCATCAATCCAATGTTTATCTGATTCAGAAACACACCCACAAACATACCCAGAATAATGTTTGACCAAATACCTGGGTATCCCATGGCCCCATCAAGTTGACATAAAATTAACCATCACAAGCTCCAAACTGCTTCTTTTCTTACCCTAACACCTCCAGGATTTTCCTGAAATATATGGCCAAAGTGGCAGAGATGCTTGTACTGTAACCTGCACTTTACCTGGTCTGGGTCCCAAAGCTGGAAATCTTCAATGTCACCTGGTAAATGGGCTGGAGCAGTATTCCTAAGTGTGCTATGTGTTGCTCCAGAACATAGAGAGACATACCAAGCCCTGTGCATTCTTCTTTGTGGTAGGGGATGCAAGATGTAACAATCTGTCTTTGACTTTGGAAGGCTATACTGATACACATGTGGCCAGCTGACCCTTAAAAACTTCACGAAAGTGGCAAGTCCTTGAATCTTTAGAGCATTTTTCTTCTACTCTCTGGAGCATGGTCTTACCAATGCCTCCAGCATACTAGCCACCCCTTGCTTGTGCCATCTGAGCAGCATAAAATCGTTGATGCAGTGGGCCAAAGTGATATTCTGAGATGTTTAGGAGATTCAGATTTCTTTGGGCTTTATTATGACAGAAGGCAGAGTTAACCAATCTTGAGACAAAACTAAGTGAACAGTTATCTGTCCCACATGTATGTGAATCATTTCTGATGCTCTCTCCTAATCAGAATGGAAAATAATTCATTGAACAAATCACTGGCCACTCATCTTGTCCTGATGCCTTATTAATCTGCTCCAGCAATAAGACCATATCAAGCACAGCATGTGCAATTGGGGCTGTTACTTGCTGAAGCCTATGGTAGTCTACAGTCATTCTCTGGAATCCACCTAGTTTATGCAGGGGCCAGACAGGCTAATTAAATGGAGATATGATAGGCACCATCTTTCTTTTTTTAAAATATTTTATTTATTTGAGAGAGAGCACAAGCGGGGTGGGGGGTGGTTGGGGAGGGAGAAGCAGGCTCCCTGACAAGCAGGGAACCCAACACGGGACTTGATCCCAGGACCCCGGGATCATGACCTGAGGTGAAGGCAGACGCTCAACTGACTGAGCCACCCAGGCGCCCCAATAGGGACCATCTTTCATTTCCCCACATTCTTTAGGTCTTTAATGGTAGCACTAATTTTCACCAGGCCCCCCAGTATGTGATATTTTTGTTTGTTTTTTAATTTACTATGTTGGCCAGGGTGGAAGGTCATTTTCAGATGTTTCCACTTGGCTTTCCCCACCGATAGCTCTCACTTCACACAGGTCAAGGATTTAACGTTGGTATTACCGCAGCTGCTAAGTGTATGAATTCCAATTACATACTCAGGAACTGGAGAAATGACCACTGGGTGGGTCCACAGACACAATGGACCTACTGTAAACTAGGCTTTTACAGTTTACAGTTATGCCTTATTACCTGGTCCCCATTTGCCTCCATTCTAACAAGAAGCCATGACAATGCTTTGGGTCTCAGGATATTTGATGTCAACTCAGACCCTGAGTCCAATAGTTCTCACTTTTTCTGGTTACTCCTCTTCCCCACTGTGTAATCACTGAAGTAAATGGCCATAGGTATCTTTGGGAAAGGACCAGGGAATCATTACATTTATACTTGCTGCACTGAAGCACGATCTGCCACCTCTAAGTCAATGAGTTTCAGATCTGAAAAATGGCTCAGATTGGGACACTGAACAAGGGATAATGACTTTTTGGGTGAAATCAACCTCAGTATCCTGCTCCTCTGTTTTGGCTTTTTCTTGGGGTTATAGATGTTAATAGGTTTCCCATCTATTTCACCCCTACAGATGCCAACCTCTACATCCATCTCCACAACTCCCTGTAAGCCCCTTTGGCTGCCACTCATCAGATGTTATTGGTCTTTATAATTGTAGCCTCCTGGCTTCTAGTGACCAAGTGCCACCATTTGGCTCTGCTACTTGGGGAAGGGGAATTTTATTCCCATAGTTATTAATGAACCCTAACTCTATGACTACTATTATTAGCTCAGGACTGTAGAGAACTTCTTGATGTTGCTGCCCCTTACTAGAGGATTTCTAATGGCCTTCTGGTGTATCTCCTGGGCTCTCCCATGAAACATAATCCTCTGATGGGTCTTCTGGCCTCACACATATCCATTCCAGCATGCCTATTTCCCCCAGTCTTTTAATTCATTCTACCATATATGCCCTGGCAACCCTAACGTTTCTACTTTGCTCAGCATTGGCCATCACTTTCTCTAGGTTTAAGAGCAACCCCCCCAACGGTGAGTTGTTTTATCCCCAAGAGTCCTTGCCAGTGTGTTAAATCCTGACTCAAGAAAGTGTTCCTAAGTCAATAAATTCTTGATTATCTAATCTAATATTCCAGCCCCCATGATCAAGCAACCTCAAAACTCAATTGCAGGGTACTCCCCTGACTTCTTTGTGTATGCTAGCTAATTCTTACAGCTTCTTTGTATATGATCTCTTTCCTCCTTTATCAGGTCAGGCATGTTTTCAGCTGGGTTATGCTAGGAGTTGACTCTAGTTATTAGCATGGCAGCCAGGGGAGGAGTGGCTCTGCAGTGTCTTTCAGCACGGGAGAAATACTAGTTCTTAGTATGAAGAGGTAGACCATCTCTGCAAGCTTTGAAAGTCCATGAGGGTCTGCAGAGCTAACCTCCTTACAGTTGTGCATCCAGATGTCCCATCCCTTGTTTCAGGGTTTCAGGTTTCCTCAACCAGGGCCCTAACCTGCTTTGGCCACACATTTTAATGTCTCTGGGGCTGTGTGCCGCTAACTACCATGTCCTAAGTCTGTGGCATAGCTGTTGCATTGCAGGAGATAAAATCCTCTTTGTAAGTTACAAAAGAGGTCCTCTGTCTCTCATACTTGGCCATTAACCAAGGGAGACCTTTGCTTTTTCCTTATCCCTCCTGAGTGTTAATACAACTTAGCAGTAACCAGCCAATTCCACTGTCCTTGTAGGCATTGCCCACCCCCACGCCCATATATTTCAAATGCCGGAAATTGTATTCTTCTTTCTCCTCCATTGGGATGCTTTCCCAGGTCACTGCTGATGAAATCTTTAGCAGCTGGATCACCACCTTGTGCTGGGACTACCCATGCCCCTATACTACTCAGGATAATACTGTCTTTGCCCACCAGGTAGTGAGTGAGCTGGTCCTGAAACCTCATTTTATTATCTAGCTTTTGTTTTTGTTTTTTGACCTCTCCTGGTACCACTTGTGTTAGCTTGGATCCTCTGAGCAGTTGCCAAAGTGGGATTTGGCAGGTATATTAGCTAGGGCTGCCATAACAAAGTATCATGGACTGGGTGGCTTAAACAACAGAAATTTCTTTACAGTTCTGGAGCCAAGAAGTCCAAGACCACAAGGTGAACAGGTTTGGTTTCTTCTGAGGCTTCTCCCTTGGCTTGCAGACGGCCATCTTCTTGCTGTGTCCTCACATAGCCTTCCTCTGCACCACGCCCCCAGAGTCTCTCTGAGTCCAATTTCCTCTTCTTATAAGGACACCAGTCAGATTGGACTAGGGTTCATCCTAACAGCTTCATTTTAACTTAATTTTAACTGTATTTGGACCTACGTCCAAATACAACCACATTCTGAGTTATTGGGTGTTTAGGGCTTCAACATATGAATCTTGGGGAGAACACAAGTCAGCCCATGACAACAGGCAGAAGATTTCTTAGGGGAAATGTCTGAAAGATAAAAGGGAGGGAGCAGGAGAACGTAGGAGATTGTGTAAACCCTGATACAGAACTGACACCTATGAAGGCAAGGGAAAAGAAAGGACTGAGTAGGCAGTGTCTCAGACTGCAGCACAGTTCTAAGAGTTTCAGCTAGTTTCAGTTTCAGCTCAATGCTGCCCATTGGAGGAGTCCCATATATTCCAACAATGACACTGCATTAGTATTCCTGCCATGCTCAGTAGTTGGCCAGGACTGGCCAATTATTATTTCTTAAGGGGCCTGCAAGAATCAAAACTTGTTAAACCTCTTAATATCCTTGGTGAAAAATTTTTGCTTATTTTAAAATATTCTTACAAAATGACTGAAGTAAAAAAAAAAAATCATAAGGTGAAGCAGCCAAATCTAAAATGTCTCTTTATGTAAATAACAAATTGTAGCTACTAGAGATAAAAGTAGATAGATGGATTTGGGGAACATGATATCTAGGAAGAGCAAAGGGACCTCGATTACAGATTGATTTGAAATCACTTACAAAATTCTCCACATACGTATATTTTCTGTCATTCACCCAGGAATGTCTGACACACAGTAATAATACAGGATATTTACTAACAAATCTGAGTATTTTCAATACTTGTTGGGTTATTAACTTTACCAAACTATTTCATTTACTTGCAGTGGAATGACAAGGCTTCTAATCTATAGATACTTAATTGTAATATAGTTAAGACCTCTGTGTTTCATCTCTTAAAATGATTACAGCAGCTTTTAATTAGGGGGTCATTTTTGTACGTGCAAAAAAGTACCAAAATATCTGAGAGCTCTCATTCTGTGGGTGAATACATAACTTTCATTAATGTCCAAGTGATTTGCATTTCTCTGGGAAGAAACAGTCCTTCTCATCTCTCAGTATGTCACCTAAAAGAGTTGTGACCAACAAACTCTTGTCAAGTTTATAAAAAAAAAAACCCAAACCAACCAACCAATCAAACTCCACAAAGGAAATTAAGAAAAAAAAAGAAAAATTAGTGTTAAATTAAATTTTAAAGAGTGGCAATTTGAAATACTGAATTTTCTATGTAATTCTCCAAGTGACACATATATTAACCTCTATATAACTAGTATGTTTATAGCAATCAATCAATAATTGTCTATTTACTCAACAATCTAGAGCATCTACTATATGCGAGGTATTAGGCTGAGTAAGACACAGTACTGGTACTCAAAGAACTCACATTTCAATTAGTTTCCTTTTAAAAAAAAGTATTTTTATTGTGGTAAAATATATGTAAAATTTACCATTTTTAACTGTATAGTTCAGTGGCATCAAGTACATTCACACTATTGTACAATCATCATACACAATCCATCCCCAGAAATTTTTCATCATCCCGCACTGAAATTCTGTACCTATTAAACAATAATTCCTCAGCCCCTTCTTCCCCTGCCCCAGGCAACCACTAGTCTACTTTGTGTGTCTAGGAATTTTACTATTCTAGGTACCTTATATAAGTACAATAACACAATATTTGTCCTTTCATGTTTGGCTTATTTCACTTAGCATAATGTCTTCAATCTCCATCCTAGTTGTAGTATGTATCAAAATTTCATTCCTTTTTAAGGCTAAAGTAATACCTGTTCTATGTATATAGTACATTTGGTTTATTCTCAATTACTTTAAAGTAGCTAATCTCTCATTTTATTTCTTTCAAAGAGATACCATGAGGCTTTTAAAATTACTTTAAGCTAGTGTCTGTAGCCTCCCAGTAGCTCCCCAGATGCCAGTTCCCTCCTTTTGCTGCCACCACTCAAAGTACAAGGTGCTCTCTTTTATGGTTAGTTTTTGAAACAATTCCTGACCCCTTTTGTATTTCTCTTTATAAGTCATGGGGACAGTTATACACACTTCCAGGTGTCTTTTTAAAAAAGTAACATTTTCTAATTTATGTATAGTTAGAAACATTTACAAATTAGGCAATTTCAGGTACATAAAGAATTCAGTTTGGGGATCAGTTCTTACTGGTTTCTTCATTTGGATAGTATTATCTCCAGTCCACCCGGGACTATTCTGCCACAGTTCATTTTGCTCCAAGACCAATGTGCCAAGCTCCCCAATATGTTTTAGATACCTTTCTCGGTTTCTGAATGTAGCTCATTTTCTCATGTTTTATTACATTCATTTCTTTTTTGTCTTCTGTGGCTCCTTTATCATTTTTCTCAGAGGGACACTTGGTTCAACTTTTTAATGAAACATTTATTGAATTGATCAGAGGCAAGAAACTATATAACAGGTGCTGGATTTTTAATGCCATGAGGACCCATTTTCTTGGGAGAAAGTAAGATTTCCCTTATTAGCCACCATCAGCTACTGGCTCCCCTTCATTTATGGTATATGGGGCACAAACACACTTACCCAGAGGAGATTCCACATTCCAGTTATTTTGTGAAACATTCACTGCCATACCTGATATTAGTAGGGGCTGCAGAGCACCTTGCATCCCTGAGTGTTCAGGAAATACTATTATGCTCAAGTACCTATATGGGTTTATATGTAATACCTATGTAGGTATATAGTTACTATATATTAATTTCAAAATAACCTTGAAAGAGCAGGCACAGTGAATTTAACTGGCATTTTTCAATAGAAAGACCACATTAGTTGGCCGGAAGGATGCAAGGTTCTTTTCTCAGAAATCTAACAGATTCCTGAGGATTGCTACTTGGAACTTCTCGTTTTTATTAGTGTCAAACATCTGGTTGGCTAGGAACCACAAAATGATATTCCTACCGAATTTATGAAGGTAGGAAATAAATGATGGTAAAAACAGATTTCAATTTCCGAAAGACGTATTTCTACATTCCCTCCACGACTGAAATGCAAGGTCCTAACCTAGGACCATATATGAACTTTTCTTGAGATATACGAGGCCTGGAGAAGTTAAGACTTGACCAGTGGTATCATACTGATTGGAATGAAACCCTGGCATTTCCCTTTCAGTCATACACTGCCTATCAATGGCTTCTTAACTAGCTATCTTTCTTGAACAAATAATTCATTTCACAGCCTTTCCTGAAGCTGTGAAGTTGTTCTCCTACCTTAGGGAAGGGAAGCAGGGAGCACGAAGCACAAAAAGGCGGCACCGTCAGCTAAATTCTCCATGAATGACAGAAAAAGCAGTGAGCCATACGAATCCCAGATCCAAGGCTCGGCGTTAGCGGATCTAAAACCTGTACTGGGGAGGGCGGGGGGAGGGCAAGGAGTGGAAGGAAGTGCAGGTAAAATTACCCTGACCAGGCGGCAACTTGGAGACTTTTTCCCGCTGACTCAAACCCACCAACTCCTCTCAAACGAACCACGCGGTAGGGTGGGCAGAAGCGAATGGACTCGCCCACAGCGCCCGCTCACACCCACGGTAGCGCCCCCCATCACCGCCCACGGCGAGTCCTGGAGCGCACCACACAGCTCCCGGGAGAGACCGCACCAGATCCGGAAGAGCCGGGAATCCGCGAAAGGCTGGGCGGGTGCACGGCGAGGAGAAAAATGGGACCAACGTACTCCGGCGCGGATTACTGGAGCCTATCAAACCAGAGTTCAGACAGCTCAACTCTCCGTACAAGGTCTCCCGATTGCCAATCTTAGGGGGGGTTCATACCTCGTCTAAAAGAACTCTCCCCACGCACCTTCGGCTCCGAGCGCACTAGCAACCACCCGCGATTTAAGCAGAACGACGGCCCTCGTCCCGCCCTCCCTGAAACCAACCCAGGCCAGGCACGGCGGCACGTTGGCCCAATCACCTCGGCGGGAACTAAGACCAACCAATAGGAGGCAGGCACAGGAGGGCGGGCTAAGTCGCGGGCGCACGCGCAGTTGGGAGCAGGGCCTCGCTTCTGTGGTGGTGTGGGTGAGCTGGGTGCTGGTTGACTCGTGTTGGCCCTCAAAAACCCCGCGTAGCCGCTGCCACCCTCTCCTGCCCTCACCATGTTCCTCACCCGGTCTGAGTACGACAGGTCTGTGTGTCGGGGGAAATGGGGTCGGGGTTATGGGTGGGCAGGACTGGGGCCCGGTCCCGGCCTGGGTTCTGCCGTGTCATGGGGCGCCCCAGGAACCCGAGTCTGGCCGGGCCTGGGGATCTCTTGCCCTCCCTGGCCGCCCGCAGTGATTCCCCAAGCTAGACGCGCGCCGGGTCCTACCGCTGAGTCACTGCGAGGTCCTGACTGGGTGCGGAAGTGAGAAGCTCCGCTTCGTGCTTGAGGAAGAAGGCTCGGGGGCCGGGACTCTGACCTTTAACCCGGAGAAGTCCAGGGGTCACCCCCTCCCCCGTTCATCATTTCGTGAGGAGTATGACTGCCTTTTTAGAAAATGTGAACGTGTTGCCTGGAAGAAAAAGCAACTAGAGATTCTTTAATGGCTTTCGTAATTTCAGCTCCCCTTTCTAGGGAAACAACCTCGTTTTCCGTTTCTTAGTCGTGGAAATAGAGCAGCCTTTTCTTTGAGATGTAGGAGGGCATGCTGGGATGTATACTTTCTGCGAAAGCGCTAAGGCGTTCTCAGGAATGCACAGATAAGAGTGTGGAGTCTGGTTTTATAGGAACTAGAATTTAGAGTGGTTCTCAAGAGTTTCCTCATCACGCTGATTCCACTAGACCTAGGCTTTTCTGACTCTTTAAGAAGCTTGAAGCAAGTTAGTTTGTGTGTGTTAAGGCCAGATCTGTTTTTCGAAATTAAGGTTGTGAGATTGTTGTATTTATTTAAAAAAAAAAAAACAACACTTCTCAGGGTTTGGAAATGCTGAGTAATATTGAATTGTACATATTTATGCTGTAGACATTTTTACTTTCAGTTTCTGCTTTGGTCAGTTAGGTTTTCACATAACTATGAAAGTTTTGTGTTTATTTTTTAAGCCGGGAAAGGCAGATTTTTCTTTCCTACGAGGTCCTTAGAAGCTCCATTTTTTGTTAGAGTATATGTTGACCTTGTCAAAAGTTTTTATCACCTGGAACTACCACTTTTTTATCCTTTTACTGACTCAGAATATATATGTGAAGTTTTAAAACTGACAGCTTTTCCTACTGTCCTATAAAATGACTGTTAGTATTTATCTTCCCCAGCATTAAAAAGAATCATCTTTGGGTGATAGAATTTTGAGTTGGGGTGTGTATGATAGAAATTGTTATTATCAGAAAGCCTTTATTAAGGTTTTGTGATCCTTAGCTTTCTCAACGATTGCTTTGTGTTACTCATTTTTGTATCTTCCCAAGAATGCCTAAAATACAGCTTTTTAAAATTCACTTAGCTAATATACTTGAATGCTTGCTGTGTACAAGGCACTGTTCTAGTTGCTGGCCATACAGCAGTGAACAATATCAAGATCCTTGCTCTCATATGGGAGACTGTCTTTTAAAGAACTATTTACAAAAATAACTGTAGTGTGAGTCAGAGTGTATTCATGTCATTAGAGAAATTCAAATCAAGTACTATAGAAGTTTTGTTGAGAGAGATTGCACTCAATATTAGGGGATCATTGAAAACTTTGAAAAAGAACTGGTATTTACCCTGAGTCTTGAGAAAGAGTAAGATTTTAATAAATATGGACTGTGAGAGTCAGTAGTTTTGAGGCCAAGAATATAGGATGCACAAAGGAGGGACAATGGGAAAGCACAGTGAATGTTTGGGAAAATTCTGTTCTGTATGGCACATGTGATGCATGTATGGGAATGGTGAACTATGGGAAAAACAGGTTGGTGCTAGATATTGAATGTTTTTTTATGTGTGGTTATGGAGTTTGGGTCTTACTCTTTAGGGAACCATGTGCTATTAATTTTCATTTTAAGAAGATGTGTTTTGCAGAGATTATTTGACTGGAATAGAGGAAAGAGTGAGTCAATACCAGTTAGAAGGCTATTATAATAGGTGAAAGGTAATGAGGGCATTGAGAATGAAAGAAGAGTGTTGAGTTACTATGTGGGAGGAATTGATTGACTTGGCATATTAATATGGGAGATGGGGAGAAATGAGTCAGATCATTCAGAACTTTCTAGCTTGGGGAACTGGGAGATTGGAGATGTTTTGAAATAAAAATGAAATAGGAATGGCAGGAGATGGAGCTGATTTTGCAAGGATGGCTGGATTTAAAGAGATATTTCAGATTGGAAAATGTTGAGTGTTCGGTGCTAATGGGATATTCAAGTAAAAATGCTCAGGAGGCAATTAAATTAGTCAGGGAAGAGGTCAAACCGGTAATAAAGATTTTAAAGTAGTTGGTACTTAGTGTAAATGAAATAACCCAGGGAAACAGTAAAGTTTGAGCAGAGGGCCAAGAGCAGAGCCCACGTTAGAATGTAGTTAATACCTCACTAGGATGAAGTGCTTGAATTAGAGTGAAAATACTATATTCACATAATACTTTACACATTTCAAAGTTCTTTCCTACTCCATGCAATTCAATATTATCTGTGACAGAGGCAGCATAGGTTTTGGGTTTTGTTTTTCATTTGAGGGAATTAAAGCTAGTTGCAGAACTAGAACTTAATTCCAGGTCTTCTGTCCTCACCTTTCACTCAGTGATTTTTAAAAATTGTTCCTGGGACGCCTGGGTGGCTCATTTGGTTAAGCATCTGACCGGGCTCAGGTCATGATCTCAGGGTTCTGGGATTGAGTCCTGAGTCAGGCTCCCCACTCAACATGGAGGAGTCTGCTTGTCCCTTTCTTGTCCCTCTCCCTCTGCTCCAGCCCCTGCTCGTGCTCTCTTTCTCTCTGTCTCTCAAACAAATTGAATCTTTTAAAAAAAAAAAATTGTTCCTTATAGGTCATAACTTTTTTTTTTTTTTAAGATTTTATTTATTCATTTGACAGAGAGAGCACAAGCAGGGGGAGTGGCAGGCAGAGGGAGAGGGAAAAGCAGGCTTCGGAGCCTGATGTGGGGCCCGATGCCAGGACCCTGGGATCATGACCTGAGCTGAGGCAGATGCTTAACCACCTGAACTACCCAGGCGCCCTGAGTTCTGAACTTTTTTTTTTTTTTAAGATTTTATTTATTTATTCATAAAAGACAGAGAGAGAGAGGCAGGCTCCCCGCTGAGCAGGGAGCCCGATGCGGGACTCGATCCCAGAACCCTGGGATCATGACCTGAGCCGAAGGCAGACGCTTAACCATCTGAGCCACCCACGCACCCCCGAGTTCTGAACTTTTTTTTTTTTTTTAAAGATTTTTTATTTATTCATTTGAGAGAGAGAATGAGAGACAGAGAGCATGAGAGGGAGGAAGTTCAGAGGGAAAAGCAGATTCCCCACCGAGCAGGGAGCCCGATGCGGGACTCTATCCCGGGACTCCAGGATCATGACCTGAGCCGAAGGCAGTCGCTTAACCAACTGAGCCACCCAGGCGCCCCCGGAGTTCTGAACTTTTTAAATGACCTCTGGGACAAGTGGGATACTGGGATTGTGGGATTCTCCTTTCACTTCTGATTTAACCCAGAGTAATAATTCCCAGAGGCAGTATGGTGGAATAGTTAAAACCTTGGACTCTGCAGTCGCATTGCCTAAATTCTAAATCCACCTCTGCTTCTTATATGCTGAGTGACTTTGGGTAAATTACTTAACCTCTTTGTGTCTCAACTGTGAAATAGTATCATAGGATTATTTTGAGGATTAAATGAGTTAAGTCATTTAGAGGTTTATAGCAATGCCAGGCATATAGTAGATGTGCAGTAAATGTCAACTTGTATTATTACCTGTTTTATATTTGGGGCTATATATAAAATATTTTTTGAAGAAAGTTTTTGCTAAAACAGATTTGAAAATGCTGCATTATATATCATATTACATATTATAAAATCCAAACTCCATAAACCAGGGATCATAACTATTTTCATTCACTTGAGTTCGAGTATTTTTGAAGTATTCATTGCATTCTGAAAACTTTTATAGCTGAGACCATGACTGATGCCACTTCTTCATAGTGATTTCCAAAAGAATGGAGCAAAGAAAGGTGGGGAAGTGTTTTGGAGAGAAAAAGAAGTCTGGCATGTAATTGGTATAAATATGTATGGAATAAATAAACTAGCCTAGGCTTTAGGAACTGCACAGATCTCAGTCTGTTAAGATACCAGTCCTAATTCATAGAAATAAATAGAGAAATGTACCTGTAACTGACTTTTACTGAAAAGTAAGATATTAACAGCAAATGTATGTAATGGGAAGAGGATAAGGATAAATGCTTATTTTCTTGGGAATTGCCTGGTAGTTTGGGGGCATGAATTTACTGAAGGAATTGCAGATTGATTCAGGATTGAGACAGAAAGCCACCTCTTCTCATTTGATCAGTTTGAAGTCTCTGGGAGTAGGACAGAAGTATTCCATACATAAGTTCCATTTTCTTGAAAAGCTGTTAAATGTACAAAAAAATAGCTCCAGATTGTTGTGGGTGAAGGAGGATAATGACAACATACACATCTTGTAGCCATTTGACCTAGATGTCAAGGAACTTGAGTTTTGTTTATCTACGCTTATTTTTTCTGACAATTTTTTTAAATTTTTTTTTTTAAGATTTTTTATTTATTTGAGAGAGAGAGAATGAGAGACAGAGAGCATGAGAGGGAGGAGGGTCAGAGGGAGAAGGAGACTCCCTGCTGAGCAGGGAGCCTGATGTGGGACTCCATCCCGGGACTCCAGGATCATGACCTGAGCCGAAGGCAGTCACTTAACCAACTGAGCCACCCAGGCGCCCCTTTTCTGACAATTTTAATACTTTTTTTTTAATTATAGGGGCGTGAATACTTTTTCTCCTGAAGGAAGATTATTTCAAGTGGAATATGCCATTGAAGCTATCAAGGTATAGTATCAAGTGGCAAGTTTTTGAAATTTCATGGCAACCTAATGCTTTGCTGGCAGAACATTTGGAGTAAATGTGTTTTAGCTTCTTTTTTAGAAAATATTCTTTATCTCCCTTTAACCAACTACTAACCATTTTATTTTTTTTTTTAAGATTTTATTTATTTATTAGAGAGAGAGCACACACACAAGCTGGGGGAAGGGCAGAGGGAGAGGGAGAAGCAGACTCCCTGCTGAGCAGGGAGCCCTACGATGGGGCTTGATCCCAGGACCCTGAGATCATGACCTGAGCCGAAGGCAGACACTTAACCTACTGAGCCACCCAGCACCCCTACTAACCATTTTAATAGCAATTTCCATCTCATTCCTAAAACCTTTTGAACAGATAACTGCTTCATAATTATGTAGCTTTTTCTCAGTGGGGCTGGAGGGACATGCTTGTGTTCATAATCTTCTTGGCTATAAAGAGAGGAGTATAGAAATCTAGAGTTAGCACCTGGAGATATTTTGAACAAATCATTTAACTGATCACCTGTGTTCTTATTAGTAAAGTTGTGGATTTGTACTAGACACTTTTAGGACTGAATAAGAGATGTGTCTTGTTATCTAATAACAAAATTAAATAGTTTCATCCAGTATTAAGAAAATTATTAAGTAAGGTATCAGTACTTAAAGTTAGTTATCACATGAGATGTGCATTTGTTGAATTATGGATAATCTAAATTCTGATATAGATTGTCCAGGGTAAGGTCCAAGGCATCAGTATTTTTTTTTTTTTAATTTTATTTATTTATTTGAGAGAGAGAGAATGAGAGACAGAGAGCATGAGAGGGAAGAGGGTTAGAGGGAGAAGCAGACCCCCCGCTGAGCAGGGAGCCCGATGCGGGACTCGATCCAGGGACTCCAGGATCATGACCTGAGCCGAAGGCAGTCGCTTAACCAACTGAGCCACCCAGGCGCCCCAAGGCATCAGTATTTTTAAGGATTCCCTCAGTGATTCTGATATCTAGCAAGGGTTGAGAATCCCTGATCTAGTCCAGCCCTTTACCCTGTGCTTCAGAATATTTTCTCCCAAGATGGCTCATTTCTGTTAGAAAACAATTCATAATGGTTAAGAAATTTATCCTTGTATTGAATGAAAAGTCTAGCTTCCTGAAGTTTCCTTCATTTGGCCCTAGTTTTGCCCTTGAACCATACAGGACGTTGAAACCTTCTCCAAAGACAATTCCTTGCATAATTGAAGAGAGCTACTGTGTTTCTCTCTAAGTTACTTATTTTAGAAAGAATGTATGGTTTTATGAGAATCTGGAAAAGGGCAAAAGAGATTTCGGTTAGTTGAAGACATAGAAATAAAAGTGGATGCACTATGACAGATGGTGGGCCAGCTACAAGTGCCTGTCTCTGTTTCTGATCATGTTTGCCCTATGTTGAAACCATACAGTACTATGAAGTATGAAACTATCAAGCTGTGGCATTTATTTTGAGCCTCTAAAGACAACAGTCCCACCCAGATGTGCAAACCAAGAATAAGCCTCAGTTTTTTGGGGTTTCTCCTTTAAGCTCCTTACTGCTAGTGATTTCCAGATTGCTTAAAGATAATTAGGTAGCATCTGATCTCTAGCCTTATGTTGGACTAAGATAGAAATAGCCATGTGGCCCTTAATAGATGTGACTTAACCTGTGTGAAAATAACCTGGTTGTTGCCTTGACCACTTAGGAGTCGCCAATGAGAAAGCAATTTGATAACCTTAAGTATTCAGTAGTATGAAAGGAGATGGAGAAATGACTAAGAATGGCTGACAAGTAGAAATTGTAATTTAGAGGTACCGTATGGATGGCATGGGTGAGATACAGCCAACAGAAGTGGAAAAAAATTGCCTTTAGAGTAGGTTTTTTGGGGAAAGGAAGGATAATCTGTGGCAGTATCAAAATTACCATATTATATGGAGCATCTGGTCATTGGTTACTATGAGTTATACTAAAGAAGTACTACATAGAATCAGTTCAAATGTTCTCTCACTTCTCTTCTCCATTTCCCCCGTCTCCACCAAGGGGTGGGGTGAAGTTTAGGCAGAACTGTAATACTGAAACATCTGGGGGTAAATGTAAGTGTTCAAAAGAAAATTATCTTGATTTTGATATATTTTATAAAGTAGACTGTCTTGAAAATATTAACCCTTTTTTTGGAGTGAAAGCTTAGGAAGTTATTTAAGTTGGAGACCAAGTTGAACAGACTGAGAATTTATTCTCGTAATATGAGAATGGTTCATCCATAAAATAATTATAGTACCCAGGGACTGTTTACATTTTGGACCAGATAACTCTTTGTTTGGGGACCATTCTGTGCAAGGTAGAATGTTTAGCAGAATCCCTGGCCTCTCTACCTGTTAGATACCAGTAGCACTCAATTTCCAACTGTGACAACCAAAAATGTCTCCAGACTTTGCCCTCCAGACACATATCCTCTAGAGGGTAAAATGGGTCCCTGGTTGAGAACAACTCTGCTAGATAAAATTTAAAAGTAGGTATAAATTCTGTCCTGCTCTGTTCAGTTGGAGATTTAAGAGCAATACACAATACATAAAACAACTAGAGAACAACTAAGTGCCAAATAAATTCTCTGATAATATTTTCTGATTAAAAATTTCATTCTTGGGGCGCCTGGGTGGCTCAGTCATTAAGTGTCTGCCTTCGGCTCAGGTCATGATCCCAGGGTGCTGGGATTGAGCCCCACATTGGGCTCCCTGCTCAGTGGGAAGCCTGCTTCTCCCTCTCCCACTCCCCCTGCTTGTGTTCCTGCTCTTGCTATCTCTCTCTGTGAAATAAATAAATAAAATCTTAAAAAAAAAAAATTCATTCTTAAGGCATACCTGTATGTAGTTTTAGAGTCAAAAGATAAAATAATTATATAAACTTTGTAACAAAAACAGCAATCCCTGAGGACTGCCCCCTTTACCTTCAGCTTCCCAAAGGCAACACTTTAAAGTCTTTTAGCTGATAATTTTCTTGGCATTTACTTCCGTATTTCTAGCACAGACTTACATATTTTTGTTTTGTTTTGCTTAGGCATTATCCACAGACTTTATATTATGGAGAATGATGATTTCTGCCCCCACTGACACATGTAGAGAGACAGACAGATATCCCACACACATACAATTTCCTACTGGGGTGGCAGTAAGGCAACCCACTCTATACCATATATATCATAATTTTGTAAGATCATTAGTCAACATTTATATCAGTATGACTATGTAAATGCCATTCACAACTGAGCCATTTTTCCGTTTCTGCACAATATTTTCCTGGGAGTTGAGAACTCTTTTTAAAAACATTTGCTTAATTTAATATATGAATGTCATAAAATCATCCCCAAAGTCTCTCCAGGTTGTATATATCTTCTCAAAACATCCAGGCACATTAAATATCCTATTAAAGATTCTTAAGGGCGCCTGGGTGGCTCAGTTGGTTAAGCGACTGGCTTCGGCTCAGGTCATGATCTTGGAGTCCCGGGATTGAGTCCCACGTCGGGCTCCCTGCTCGGCGGGGAGTCTGCCTCTCTCTCTGACCCTCCCCCCCTCATGCTCTCTATCTCATTCTCAAATAAATAAATAAAATCTTTAAAAAAAAAAAAAAGATTCTTAAATAGGGGTGCCTGTTTTTGTTTTGTTTAGAATTCTTTTTTTTTTTTTTTAAGATTTTATTTATTTGTTTGACAGAGACACACAAAGAGAGGGAGCACAAGCGGGGGAGTGGGAGACGCAGAAGCAGGCTTCCCGCTGAGCAGGGAGCCTCATTCGGGGCTTGATCCCAGGACTCTGGGATCATGACCTGAGCCAAAGGCAGACGCTTAACGACTGAGCCACCCAGGTATCCCTGGGTGGCTCAGTTAGTTAAACATCCAACTCTTGATTTCAGCTCAGGTCATGATCTCAGGGTGGTGGAATTGAGCCCCGAGTCAGCCTCTGCGTTCAGCAGGGAGTCTGCTTGAGATTCTCTCCCTCTGCACCTCCCCTTTCTTGCATGTGCACACTCTCTCTTTCTCTCTCTCTCAAATAAATAAATCTTAAAAAAAAAAAAAAATCCTTAAATATGTCTTTGAACCTTCTCACCTGCTGCAGTCTGGACTAGATCTCTGGGCATACTGCCTAGCTGTATATACTCAGGATATTCTGTCAACATCATCCTAGGGATTCCTTTTAACTCCCTCTTGTGTTAGCTCCTATGTGTCATCCTTTTTTCTTTTCATGTATTCCTTCAGTTTGGTAAAGGTTCTCCAGTAGTTTCATAAGAAAGTATTTTTAATTTCCAAGCTCTTACGTTTTTTCCTCTTTCTTATTAGTATCCTAGTCTTGTCTTGTGGATGAAATATATTCTTTTTCTTTAAGGATTTTTTTAAAAGATTTATTTATTGAGAGAGAGTGAGCAGGGGGAGGGGTAAAGGGAGAGAATCTCAAGCAGACTCCCTGCTGAGTGCAGAGCCTGATGGCAGGGCTCAATCCCAGGACCCCAAGATCATGACCCAAATCAAAGGCAGACATTTAACCAACCGAGTCACCCAGGTGCCCCAAGAATTTTTTTTTTTTTTAAGTTTTCTTTCGATTTTTTTCCTTCTTGAATTGGTTAGATTCTTTCTTTCTTTTTTCTTTCTTTCTCTCTCTTTCTTTCTTTCTTTCTTTCTTCCTTTCTTCCTTTCTTCCTTTCTTCCTTTCTTCCTTTCTTCCTTTCTTTCTTCCCTTCCTTCTTTCCTCCCTAGTTAATTTATTTAAGTAATCCCTACACCCAATGCAGGGCTTGAACTCACAACCCTGAGATCAAGAGTTACATGCTCTTCCAAGTGAGTCAGCCAGGTGCCCTGAACTGGTTAGATTTTTAAGAGCTGTGGTTTTCAGGCTGCAAGTGTTGACCCATTAGTAGTCATGGAAATCAATTTAGTGGATCATGGAAGCATTTCTTTTTGAGTGGAATAGAACAGGAGATACTAGAATGCCTTGCTCATAGTATTGGTGAGTGTTTCATCGTATTTTTTTCCATGTTGTTTCTGTTACATTTATTTGTATCTTTTTGTGTTTTGATCATGATACAAAATATATTTCTTAATGTAGATTTTGTAGATTTCAAAAAGTTTGAAAACCACTGCTCCAGAGAAAACTGCCCCTTCTCATTTCATGCCTCAGGGTGTTTCGCCTACTAGCTTCTGAAAGCTGATGGGGAAAGAAGGCTGGGGTTCTTAAGATTAAGCTTGTCAATTTTTACTTAATACCCCTGTTTCCACTCTAGTACTCCTGTTTTTGACTGTGCTTAGTGTTCCCCAATCCAAAGACCACCCTGTTTTACACCCTCCAGAGTCTTCTACAGGAGTTGGGGTGGAGACCATCATCTAGCTTTACAGCACAGGGGAGGGGATCTGGAAATTTGTTCTTAGGTAGACATTGAACGATCTTGCAATTTTTAGTTCCTCTGTTTCTACTTCCAACGGTCCTTGATGCCACCATTTCCTTTTTTGAGGGTTCTATGATATAAATCAGGTTGTTTCTTGATTTTCTTTACTACTTTAGGATTCAGAACCCATCTTCTTTTTTCGAAATTTTGTTGCTGTGTCTTTGCCCATTTTCTTTATCCTAGTATATTTGTGCATCCCCCCCTCCCCTGGCCGACTGTCGTTTAATCTTGTACTATTGCCAGGCTGGGGGAAGGAGTAGAGCTAATGTGTGTGTTCGGTCTACATCTTTAACTAGAAGTATGAACACTCATTTTTTTTTTTTACACAAAATTCTTTAACAGTTCATCTCCTAGTCCCACATCGGGCTCCCTGCTCTGCAGGGAGCCTGCTTCTCCCTCTCCCACTCCCCCTGCTTGTATTCCCTCTCTCGCTGTGTCTCTCTCTGTCAAATAAATAAATAAAATCTTAAAAAAAAAAAAAAACAGTTCATCTCCTATAGTTATGCATGTAAACACCGATTAAGAAAATATATAAGCAGCGCCTGGGTGGCTCAGTTAGTTAAGTGTCTGCCTTCAGCTCATAATCTCAGGGTCCTGGGATTGAGCCCCATATTGGGCTCCTTGCTCAGCGGGGAGCCTGCTTCTCCCTCTCCCTCTGCTGCCTCCCCTCCCTGCTTGTGCTCTCTCTGTCAAATAAATAAATAAATAATCTTTAAAAAAATGAATGAAATCTTAAAACAGTGAACTTTAAAAATATATATATAATAAAAAGCTGGTATATGCATTTAAAAACACTTATAAGGTCACAACTTTACACATTTGAAAAATAATACATCTGTGTATGAGACATGATCATTCAGTGTACAGACATGTTAAACATGTTGTGCATAATGATTCATGGAATTCTTTGGACTCCTTTGCAATAACAGGTTCCAGGAGTCTGATGATTGCACTGGCAGGCATTGCTTTGTAGGACTAACTAAATAATGGAAATTCAGAGGAAAGAGCACATTTAGTCATCGAAGGCTTTATGAATGGTGGGTGGAATTTGAATTTTTACCATGCTAAAGAGCTTGAACTTGATCCAGAGAGAAGATTGTATTCCAAGGGAAAGAAGGCATGAGCAGAGGTGTGAAGGTAGGGGATAGTATGGCATGAGAAAATGGGTTGGGCTATACCTGGTGGATTTTGTTGGAGAATAATGAGTAATAAAGTTGGAAGAGAAAAGTGAGATTAGGTTTTGAGGACTCTGGAAGCTTATGTGGATTTTATGTTACAGGCAATATATATAGAGATGTTAATTCTTCAGAGAAGAAGTATAATGAAAATAGCACTTTATTAAATCAGTCAGGCCATAACATGAAATATACATTTAGAGAGAGATTAAGTTGGGGGGCCTAAGTAGGAGGCTGTTGATGTAATCTAGGCATATAAGAAGAATGACTAAATTTGTTACTCATTTATTATGTGCCAGGCACAATTTTAAGCGTTTTATATATTAACACATTTACTCTTCTTGATGTATTTTATAGATAAACAGACATAGAGGGATGGTGACTAGGATGGTGTCATGGAGATGGGGAGATGAAATTAAGCTATATTGTGAACTGCTAGTGACCTCAAAAGATTATTTTTATGTTGGTGGTGGTGTTTGTGTTTCTTTTTTTCTTGTCTCCCCCCCTCCCTTTTTTTTTTAAGTACATTACTTTTTTGGAGGTCATGTTGTAGATTTGAGAAATATTACCTTTTGGGACAGGTCAAGATAGCAGAGGTGAAAAGAAAAACTTTCGAGTTTTATTACTTTTTTGCCCACTGTGTTTAGAACTTCAGAGTCTGCTACTCCAAAATGCTGGCATTAAAGGTGATTATGTTCCAGATGTTTTCAAGAACTTAGTGAACTTTCTCTTTAGAAGAACAAAATTCTATAAATCAGTGCTCTTGCCATTGATAGGAATAGTACATTACTTATTAGGGTGCTGCTTATTCTCTGCATGCTAGGTATGGCTGATTGAAGCTTTTATCTTGTGAAGTTATTCAGAGAGATTCCTGGTGAGTATGTGAGACTGTTCTTTGAGCTGTACATGATAACCATAATGCATTTCTTTTTAGCTTGGTTCTACAGCCATTGGGATCCAGACATCAGAGGGTGTGTGCCTAGCTGTGGAGAAGAGAATTACCTCCCCACTCATGGAGCCAAGCAGCATTGAGAAAATTGTAGAGATTGATGCTCACATAGGTAAGGAGTAGGGGAAAGCTATTCTGTAGGATCTGGCTTGGGTTAATTAATCTTTGGTGTTCCAAGGGAGATATATTAGATGAACATCTTATCCCCTTGTTAGCTATTATTTTTCAGGTAGTAGGCAAGTGTGCATAATGCAGAGCTCACCTACTCCCAGAAGTTCCTTTCTCCTTCAAATTTAGACTTGGCAAATGCAATGGTTGTTGAAATATGTAAAGGTTAAATGATAGGCCAGCTCCCTATGATTGTTGGGTCTTCAGTGATGCATAATGTTAGTCCTGGTAGGAAACCACCAGGAGCAGAGGATTATGTGGAAAACTAGAGATAACTTCTGAAAAGAGGACTTCTTAAAGATCTTTAGGGTGACTAAGGGTCAGAGAGCATAAGACTATTAGACTGAGCAGATCAGTCCACTTCCTCTGTTTTCAGATTTATGTTTTTACTCCCTGCCCCCCCACCCCCCACCCACTTCCCAGCACTCCTTTTCTTGGTCTCTTTAAATTCCCCTGCCTTAGTTTCTGGCATCACTGTAGCTTTACAGGGTGAGTAGTTCTGCTTATTTATAGTGTGACATTTTAGTTGGCTCTCCAGATTTTTTTAACCCACTAGTCATCTTATTGATGAAACATCAGTAAAATAATTACTTGAAGCCCTCAGAATCAAATGCCATGGTGACTCTGTGAGCTTGACATTCTTTCTTTCATAGAGAAACTGAGATTTAGTCTTTTAAGATTAGAACATTGTGGGCGCCTGGGTGGCTCAGTTGGTTAAGCGACTGCCTTCGGCTCAGGTCATGATCCTGGAGTCCCGGGATCGAGTCCCACATCGGGCTCCCTGCTCGGCGGGGAGTCTGCTTCTCCCTCTGACCCTCCCCCATCTCGTGCTCTCTCTCTCTGTCTCATTCTCTCTCTCAAGTAAATAAATAAAATCTTTAAAAAAAAAAAAAAAGATTAGAACATTGTGGTTGCTTTATCTCAAGTCACCTGTCTTTTGGAGATAGAGCAGTGTCACTTCATTCAGCAAATTGAGAACCTACTGTGTGCCAGATAATGCTAGTCAGCAGGGATACAGAGAGAAATGAGACATAGTCCTCGTCTTTCAGAAGCATATAGCCTAATAGTGGAGGTGGACATGTAAATAAGTAAATGCAATTGAGTGATGTAGGTAGGTATTAAGAAAGGCTGTAGTATGTGTTTAGTAGGGGTACAAAGGAGAAAATAGTTTTGTCTGGGGCCAATGGTAATGGGTGTTCAAAAAAGGATTCCATAAAGGTGAAGCTTGAGCTGAGTTGAAGTGTAGAAGATCAGGAAGTGTTCACCAAGCGAACAAGTGTCTGGGTATAGCAAGGGAGACACTCTGGTTAGAGGGAATAGAAATGAGCAAACCCTTGATGGTGTAAAATGTGGAATACCCTGGCACAAGCAGTATGACTGGGAGGTGGACTGTAGCAAGAAGTGAGTCTGGGATCAGACAGTGGAAGTTCTTTTTACCATGCTAAAGAGCTTGAACTTGATCCTTTTGCATTGATGAGAAAGATCTTAAGCATTGAGGTAATATGATCAGATTAGTATTTTAGAAAGACCATTCTGATAACAAGGTTGCAGGTAGAGTGAAGGGGGCTGAGATTAAATGTAGGGAGACCAGGTAAGAAATTTGCTTTAATCCACATGGAGATGATGAGGGCTTTAACTAAAGCAATAGCCAGAGAATGGAGAAAGTAAGGATTAATGCCAGACATGTTAATTCAATAGAGACTGATAGAATTTGAGATCTAATTGGTTGTGAGGGTCAAGGAGTCTAAAAGGGAAAGAACTTGATTTGAGTTGGTGGTATGTCCAAGTAGATATATTAAGGGAGTCATTTGGCTTTATAGGGTTTGAAATGTGGGAACAAGGCTTAGGCTGGCAATACAAATTTTGAGTCATGGTGTATAAAGTAAAAGCCATAACCTTGGCATCTTGGACTTTTAGGCAAACTTTCTCTCTAAACTATTTGGTTTGTATTTGGTCAGGGAGGTGAAAAAGCTTTTGATTTTATCCTGGGGTCTTCCACTATAGCTCATAGTAAGATGATTATTTTTTATCTTAATTTCTTCTGTTGGGATGTTATTGTTCACTTAGTTTGAAAGTGCATTGTGGTCTACAAAAAGTGCTAAAGGGATGTTTAAGGATGTAATATGTGGAAATTCATTTTGGCTGTTCTTCTCTGTCTTCTGTCATAATTAATATTGGGCTTCTATGTTATTGTGAATGTTTTTTATTTATTTATAATATAATTATACTTGTGTTCCATACAGATAATCAAATAATTTCCCATCTTACCTCTTGGGTATATTGCTATGGGATTGCTATGTGGCTGTCATGGTTCCATTCTAGTATTTCAGTATTTCTGAGTGGATGAAAGAATCCTGCAAGGATTTGGCCCCTGGGTCACTATTGCTTTTACATTGCAGGTTGTGCCATGAGTGGGCTAATTGCTGATGCTAAGACTTTAATTGATAAAGCCAGAGTGGAGACACAGGTAAAATTAGCATCATCTCTCCTTTTTCCCATGATGCTTGAGTTTCTTGTTAAATGATGATATAGCTGCCTGAGCTGTATTGCAGTTATCTGTGTCAATATCAGATGTAGCTCTTGGGAGTGATTTTGGGTAGAATCCCTAGTTTATAACTTTCTGAGGTTTGGAGTCTAGCGATTCAACCATTGCAGCTTTAAGGAAGCCCTGGCAAATAGTGCTGACAGTCTCTTGCTTCTTTTTGATTTGCCATATTAAAGCAAGCTTTGCACTGCATTCTGTTCCCTAATTGACTTTCTGTGGGAGCACCGTGGCAGGAAGTGGATGTAGCTAAGGGATATTCTACCCTAACTGCCTTTGGTGTTGGGCTTGTAAGTAACAGCTCTCCTGTGGCAAGTAATGTTATGTACCAGGTGACAAATACTGGTCAGGAATACTGATATTTTCTGCTTGGAGAGTAGACCAGTAAGGAAAAAAAAAATCTGATTTGTAAAATTTTTTGCACTTATTTGCAACTTCGCTGTCAGTACTTAATGTAAAAGTAAGTCATTAATTTAAACACCAACACAATGATGAGATAGGGTCTTTGAGGGAAAGTGGCACTTAGCTGTTAGCATTCACTTTGTGAAAAGACTAAGCTTGGTGCTACAAGGGGTTAACTCTGTTTTTCAATGGAGTAATCCTCTAGTCTGTCGTTGCTTAGAGTCCTTTTGATCAGAGTTTATTTCCAGAGCTATTTCTCTTCCTTTCATGTAGTCCCAAGCATTCAAGTTTAGTGTTAAGGAAAACACAATGGAGCTGAGCATTCAGTTTGCAATCGTAGTTCACAGGGATGTGTGTAGTGAGATGGTGGGCTGCTTTAATGCTTTTCTTATTTAAAAGGTAGACCATTTAGGGGCACCTGTGTGGCTCAGTCAGTTAAGCGTCCAACTCTTGATTTCAGCTCAGGTCATGATCTCAGGGTTGTGGGGCATTGTACTTTGTGCTCAGTAGAGAGTCTGCTTGAGATTCTCTCTCCCCCTCTGCCCCCACCGCACATCCTCGCTCGCTCTCAAATAAATAAATCTTAAAAAAAAAAAAAAAAAAGAAGAGGTAGACCATGTTTTGCTCTTCTTCTAGAACCATTGGTTCACCTACAATGAGACAATGACAGTGGAGAGTGTGACTCAGGCTGTGTCCAATCTCGCTCTACAGTTTGGAGAAGAAGATGCAGATCCAGGTGCTATGGTGAGTGTAGTGTTTGTGTCAAGTTTTCTTGCTGTTCTAAGGGACCTAGGACATTTGTCCTCTGAACCTACCTTTCCCAGCCCATTTCACCACCTACTTCAAAGGCCATTTATCTTAATACCTCTTGTTTTTTGGTTCTAGTCTCGTCCCTTTGGAGTAGCACTGTTATTTGGAGGAGTTGATGAGAAAGGACCCCAGCTGTAAGAATAATTTGCCATTTTTTCCTGCTTCTTTTTTGGTAGAATTATTTTAATTTGGGATGGGGACTGGTTATTTAAATCAACTGAGAAGACTATTGTAGAATTACAAGAAATAAAGGGCTTCTAAATTCTAAAGTTCAGTAATTGTGTGCTGTTTATACAAAGACAAATTTGGGGATTCTATGAAGAACTCCCCCTATTGGCACCACTGCTAATTCTGGAAAGAATTAAAAGTAACTTTGTTACTATAGTCAGGATGTATTTTAGAGCTTTGCTTTAGAATGTTGATTTGATCCTTATCCTCAAGTATTTAGATAGGCATATTTATATCTCTTATACTTCTAAATCTCTGAGGAATTTATTAAACACTTTTAAAAAGATCTGGTTTCTCTAGGCACAGAATGTCTTTTGGACCTGTGCCTCAGTATTTCAGTGGTTTCCTGGCCTCAGGGCCAAGCATTTATATTCTTCAGTGAGATGTTTGTTTCTTAAAATGGCACCAGTCTTCAGCATTTTAATCCCCTTCTGTTGATGGGTTTTGCAGGTTTCACATGGACCCTTCCGGAACCTTTGTACAGTGTGATGCTCGAGCAATTGGCTCTGCTTCAGAGGGTGCCCAGAGCTCCTTACAAGAAGTTTACCATAAGGTAATTGAGCAGTCACAACTTTTATTATTATTTTTTAAATCAAGGTATAATTTACATACAATAAAATGGGCAGACCTTAAGAGTTCATTTCTAGGAGTTTGACAGTTCTATCTATCCTTATAACCACCACCTAAAACAAGATGTAGAACACTCCCCTCACTCCCTAAAATGCTTATCTCCTCTCCAGCCACCCTCTTCCTCCCTGGTAACCATGTTTACCACTAGAGATTAGTCTTGTCTCTTCTTGTCATTTTTATAAATGCATTCATACAGTTTGTATTGTGTGTTTGCCCTTTTTTGTTCAATATATTGTTTTTGTTCAATATACTGTTCCATTCTTTTTTTTTTTTTTAAGATTTTATTTATTTACATGAGAGGGGGGAGGGTCAGAGGGAGAAGCAGACTCCCTGCTGAGCAGGGAGCCCAATGTGGGACTCTATCCCGGGACTCCAGTATCGTGACCTGAGCCAAAGGCAGTTGCTTAACCAACTGAGCCACCCAGGCGCCCCTCCATTCAGGTTTTTGCACTTATCAGTAGTTAATGCTGAGTGGTATACCATGGTATAGATGTACCACAGTTTGTTTATCCTTTATCTTTACAGCTTTACTTAACAGTTACATTTCCTAGTCTGGCTCTTGAAGCAAGTAGGCATTTGGCACTTTTAATCTTGTGGGATGGGAGGGCTTGGTTTTGGGTAACTCATTCTTGTGGTTGAAGGCTGCCATACTTACGATTCACATGGTTCACACAGGGATACCTGGTTCCATGAACCCCTGGTAGTTTTGATTTTTATGTGTGGAAAAAATTGGGTTCATGGGTTCAAAACGGTACAAAAACAGATTTGCTAAACCAATGGGCTACCTTTTTAGATCATTTGGGAATTCTGATTCATAGGATATTCCCAATATTATCTTGCTTCTATATTAAAAGAAGATAACTACAGAAGTGTAGCCCTTTCACTTCTTCAAAGATCACTTATATGAAAGTTGGTGACTTGATCTGGTTCAAAATAAGACTTTTTTTTCCCTTTGAATAAATGTACTTATTGGCAGTTTACTTGAATTCTAGAGATACTTGTCATGCACTGTACTTACTAAGCTGCTTGATTTATTATTTGCTAAGACATTTCTTCAGGGAACTATAGGGGAAATCTTTGAAGGAAAGAGGGATTATATTATAATGGCTATTTTTCTTACCCTTTTTGTTTCAAGTCTATGACACTGAAAGAAGCCATCAAGTCTTCACTCATCATCCTCAAACAAGTAATGGAGGAGAAGCTGAATGCAACTAATATAGAGGTATTTTTCTGTTCTCTTGTTTTTTACTCAGATATCATAGCTCCCATTGCCGAAGATTGAATGGATGGAGATAATTGCATTTTTGTATGCTCAGCCCTTCAGAAGTTATTACTATCCTTTGAATAAGTGGTAACAGCAGAAGACAGAATTGGATGAGTTAAAGAGTGGAAGGGAGGTGGACAAAACAAGAGTGTGCTGCCTTCTCAAGGAGTTACTACTGCCCGCAGAAGGCAGCATTAAAGAAAAGGATTTGTCTTTTTAAGGTTGAGAAAAGACTTGAAAATACTTTCATAGACTGACAAGAAACTAGTGTATAGAAAAATGTTAAAAGAAACAAAAGCAGGGATGCCTGGGTGGCTCAGCTGGTGGAGTGTCTGCCTGTGGCTCAGACTGTAGTCCCAGGGTCCTGGGATCGAGTCCCGCATCGGGCTCCTTGCTCAGCAGGGAGCCTGCTTTTCCCTCTGCCTGCTGCTTCCCCTGCTTGTGCTCTCTCTCTCCCTCTTTCTCTCTCTCTGACAAATAAATAAATAAAATCTTAAAAAAAAAAAAAAAGGAAACAAAAGCAGGGGTTAGATAGTGATGGAGAAGTTCTAGAAGAGGGAAGGCTTAGTACAAATGAAGGAGTTGGTTTTGAAGAGCAGAGCTCATTCAGCTTTATACTGAATACCCATTATATGTCCAGTACTACACTAGATGCCAGGGATACAGACACAGAAAATCCAGTTCCCATTCAGGTAGTATACTGTGTAATATAGGGGACATATAGATAATAACAGCTTGAGGCAGTACTTCTGCAATAGTAATCAGAATGGATTGTCACAAGAACATGTAACTTATACTAGGACATTAGGAAAGCTGACTGGAAGAGGTGATGCTAAAGAAAAGAAGAGAAGGGTATTCCAGGAAGAGGGAACAGCCATGCACAAAGGCTCAAAGATATAAAATAACATTGTATGTAAAAGGGAATTTTTTTTAAAAAGATTTATTTATTTATTTGAGAGAGTGCTTGCTTGAGCACAAGAGAACACAGTGTGGGGAGGGGCTGAGGGTGAGGGAGAATCCCAAGCAGACTTCCTGCTGAGCAGGGAGACCGATGAGGGGCTCGATCTCAGAATCCTGAGATCAATACCTGAGCTGAAACCAAGAGTTGGACCCTTAACCTGCTGAGCCACCTAGGCAGCCCTGTAAAAGGGAACTTTGAGGGTTTTCTGACTGCTTGGGTGTGCGATAAATGCAAGGTAATGAGATAGAGATGACATGGGAGAGTTGTGGACCAGATTCTGACTGCCCTTATTTAGGATGCTAAGAGTAGATGGGAGAAAAGGAGGTAGTGGTGAGTAAAGATAGGGTCGGTTTGCAGGTGAATTGGGAGAGAGGTCCTGTATTTCCCTGGTGATTGTTTACATCATCTGCTCAGGGTGGGTGAATGCAACAGTAGAATTAAGGAGAATGGGAACTTTGTGGAAGAGTCATTATGGATAGGGAAAAAGGAAGACAGGGATGAGTAAAAGGATTGCTGGGCTATATTAAAATACTAATGGAGAAAAATAATTAAAAAAAAAAACTAGGGGAGGCTGGAATCATCAAACAGTTATAAAAAGTCAGAATAGTAGGCATAATATGTATGTATGTTATATTTCAATTAGACAAAATTTTTCAAGGCAATGCAGCTGTAATCACAAATCCTTAATTAAACCAATCAGCACTTACCAGGATATTTGTCAGTGGTACTCAGCGTAGACTGAGATAATGTATGTTTGGGTTAATCCCTGATGGAGGATTGCTGGTTCAGGGCCTATGAATGTCTCTCCAATAGAGCCAGCTTCCACAGGCTGCAGTGAGAGGGGCAAACTTGGATGCCAAAACAGGGGCTGGCCTAAAGGTGGGAAGGTCTGAGTGGAGTTGGAGAGAGGGGTGGAGGGTTGGGGCGTTGTTCCTTGAGCAGTAATGGGGAGAGAAGGGGTTTGGAATGGAAATGGAAAAACTTACTACATAAATATTGTTTTTTTCACTTTCTTAGCAAAGATTTTTAAATACTTTCCCTTTCCAGTCTCTGAGACTATCAAGTGCAGCAAATGCAGTGATACCCCCTTCTTGACCCTTAGGAGGGATTTTGTCATATCCTTTTTAGTACTTTATGTTTCTTGGTACTGAGTGAGATAGGGTCTTGGCATTTTTGCTGAGACTATCGTCTTCCCACGTCAGCGTAGTTCAGAGGTAGTTCTGTTGATTTCACAGTGAAAGTTCTCAGGCCTGCTTGGTTCAGCTGAAACTGCAAAGATTTTTAGCTCATTCAATTTTGGTGTTGCTTTGAAAAGAGCATCAGATGTGTCTCCTTCATGTTCTATCATGAACTGCATTAATCCCTGACTATAGTTTTTTCATATTAAAACAAAAGGGCACTTTCACTTGTCCAAGACCGTTTACTCCACCAGTACTCTGATGTTTCGAAACCTGGCTGTCCATCAGTCTTTGGAAATGAGGCCCAGAAATCTGTATTTTTGAAGTCTCTTTGGGTGAGTCTCATGGTCAGTCTGAGAAGGTCAGGCATTTGGGAGCCACTGCTCTAGAGCCCATCTCTTTCATCTCTTTTAGGTCCCTGCTCCATCAGTTGTCCCTTGGATCCCCAGCCTCTCCTTCTCTACAAAAAAAAATTTCCAAGTTGCGTCTTTTTTAGAAAACAAAACAGGGGCACCTGGGTGGCTCAGTCGGTTAAGCATCTGCAGCTCAGGTCATGATCCCAGGGTCCTGGGATCAAGCCTCACATCGGGCTCCCTGCTCAGTGGGGAGTCTGCTCCTCCCTCTGCTCCTCCCCCTGCTTGTGTTGGAGCTCTCTCTCTTGTTCTCGCTCTCTCAAATAAATAAATAAAATCTTAGAAACAAAACAAAATCCACTTTTGTTAACTCCTCCCTCTACCTAGTATCCTGTCTTTAAAAAAAAAATCAACTTTCTTGAGGTACAGCATACATACTGTAAAATGTACCTATTTTAAGTACACGGTTCAGTGAATTTTGACAGATACATAATCCGCCACCTCAATTAAGGTATAGAACATTTCTGTCATCCCAAAAAGTGTTCTTATGTCCCTTTTTAGTCAGTACCTTCCCACTGATCTGTTTTTGTCCCTATAGATTTGTTTTGGGTGTTCTAGAATTCATATAAATGGGTCACACAGTATGTGCTCTTTTGTGTCTAACTTCTTTCACTCAGCATAATGATTTTGAGATTCATCCTGTGTGTATCAGTAGTCTGATACATTTTATTGCTGAGAGCTATACCATTCATCCTTTTTTGTAACCTTTATTGCTAGGTCTCTTCTCAGCAGAACCTATGTTCATTGTCCTCATTGCTTCCTCCTATTTATTCCTCAATCGCTACCATTTGTTTCTGTTCTTAATATTTCCCTGAGACTGCTCTTTGCTAAGATAACTCCTGTTTGTCAGATTTCATGGTCACATTTTAGACCTATTATTTGACGTTTCTGAAGCAGACTACTCAATTTTTTTTTTTAATTTATTTGACAGAGACACAGCAAGAGAGGGAACACAAGCAGGGGGAGTGGGAGAAGGAGAAGCAGGCTTCCCACTGAGCAGGGAGCCCGATGCGGGGCTCAATCCCAGGACCCTGGGATCATGACCTGAGCCAAAGGCAGATGCTTAACAACTGAGCCACCCAGGCGCCCCTGCTCCTCCACTTTAAGAGACAACTCAAGGGGCATGTGGGTGACTCAGTTGGTTAAGCATCTGACTCCTGATTTCTGCTCAGGTCATGATCTCAGGGTCATGAGATTGAGCCCCACTTTGGGCTCCCCACTCAGCATGGAGTCTGCTTAGGATTCTCTCTCTCCCTCTGCCCCTCACCTGCTCGCAGGCCCTCAAGTGCATGCGTTCTCTCTCTCTCAAATAAATAAATAAATAAAATCTTTAAAAACAAAAAAAAAAGATACACAACCTAAAAGTTGCTTCTCTTTGAAACCTTCCTTGACTTCCTGTAGGTCACTCCTTTGTGGCTCTACATAAGCTTAGCTCTGTTATAACACCTAACATTGAAAGCATTTGGCGTCCAGCACCCTTGGTAAATAAGATTTTCTTCATCTTAGTATCCCTAGTGCCTAGTACAATTATAACTAGTACTCAAGTGCTTAATAATTATTAATTGAATCTATGAAAGAAAATATCTGTTTTACCTGCTTCACAGAGGTTTGGTTTTGTTTTGTTGTTTTTTTGTTTTGGATTGGTTTGGTTTGGGATTTTAGATTTATTTCTTTGAGAGAGAGAGAGAGAGCATGGGAGGGGGGAGAAGGGAGAGGGGAGAATCTTAAGTAGACTCCCAGCTGAGCACAGGGTCCCACATGGGGCTCGATCCCACAACCCATGAGATCATGACCTGAAAATAATAAATATCATGTAATTGGGTTGTGCTAATTCTGGCAGTTTTCAAATTATATTAAATCTATCAGTAATGAATATTACCAAAAATGCCCTAGTATGTGTAATTTTAAGGTCTAAAGACAAAGGCAATATGAGGAAATGACACTTAAAGCAAGCAAAATAGCTTTTTGGCAAATGTGAAGTGGCACCTATTGCTCAGTATTGCCCCAAAACATGGGGGACTATGTTATCAACAGAGGTGATGGAAAACTTGGTAGTTTTAGTTAAATTTGAAACTAACCATCTTCTGACCCTGGTCTTATTGCTTAAATAGATTATATCTGGACTGTTGGTTATTACTGATATCTGTTAATCACAAATGATTTCCTGTTGTCCGTGTCAGTGGAATCCTTTCATTTTCATGGCCAGTCCTTTTATTTATTTTTTTTTTAATTTTATTTTTTCTTAAAGATTTTTTTATTTTATTTATTTGAGAGCAAGCACAAGCTGGGGGGGAGGGACAGAGGGAGAAGCAGACTCCCCGCCGATCAGGGATCCCGATGCGGGGCTTGATCCCAGGACTCTGGTATCATGACCTGAGCTGAGGGCAGATGCTTAACCGCCTGAGCCACCCAGGCGACCCTCATGGCCAGTCCTTTTAAAAAAACAAAGCAAACTTTGTTGTTAAGTTGCCTTATGAACAATTTTAGAGAATACAATATACCTAATAATAAGTTATTTAGTACTTATAATGTTGTAGGCAGTGTTGTAAGCACTTTACATATATTAACACATTTAATCTTCACAACTTCTGTATGAGTTAAGTGCTATTATTATCCCCATTTTTCTGATGGAAATTGAAACAGAGTGGCCAAGAAACAAAAGTCTCACACACACAAGCTTCACTTGCAAGTCTGTAAATACACTTTTAATATATTTCTAAAGGAATCAGTAATAGAAAAAAGTACTGACCCCATGTAATTTGCTGCTGCTTTTCTGGTCCTTGTTGAAGTAACTTCAAATAATGACAATGATGCCAGCCATTTGGTTAACTATTATGTGGTAAGTTAACCTCAAAATAGAAAATTTGGTCAATAAGAATTTTTATTTGGGAGTCAGAGAGCTATTTTAGGAACCTACGGCTGGAAAGGATATCCCTGGGACAGCAGATCCCTCAGTTCCTAGTGAACAGCTGCATCCCTAACACAGCTTCTCCTGACCTAGTGCTTTCTGCAGAGTAATTGAGCCCAGCTCATTAACCCTTCTCTGCTTTCTTTCCAGCTAGCCACGGTGCAGCCCGGCCAGAATTTCCACATGTTCACAAAGGAAGAACTTGAAGAGGTTATCAAGGACATTTAAAGAAGCATGATCCTCAGAACTTCTCTGGGACAATTTCAGTTCTCCTAAATGCTTTTAACTTTTAATTCCAGCTCCTGTTCTTGGAAGATCTTCAGTGTATGTGCATTTTTTTTTATGATGTCTGTACATAAAGGCAGTTCTGAAATAAAGAAAAATTTAAAATTTGTTAATAGACTGTTCTAATGCAGTCTTTTGTTTGAAATGCTCATGTTAGGGGGCAAAAAGGATAGTAGTATTAATACCCCTACCCTACCAGAGTTATCTATTCTAAAATTGTTCTGGTATCTGTCTATAAGAGAATCAACTATCTCATGAATCCCTTGGTGTTGGCAAACGAACTCAAGCTAGTCCAGCTCCTCCCAGGGATATTAATACCACTGTGAACCCATTTCAGTTCTGTAGTTTCTCTTGATTAAATAGGTACTTTTGCTGCTTTTCTTATTATGAAGGAGATGTTAACAAATTGACTATAAAAAACATGTTTTGAGGGTTGGAGTTAATTAAGCCAACTACAGTGTTGTCCCAGTTCTTGTGTCTTAATAGATAATTTGGAAAGAGATTTTCATTTTTAATGAAGTTAACTATAAAAGCTGCCAGCTTATGACTCATTGAGATTGTTTAAAGAATCAATCGTTTGGAGCCCCCAAAGTGGCCATCTGAAGTAGATATCATTATCATACTTTAACAGATGAAGAATCTAAGGCTGTGTGTCCAAGGACACAGAAAATTAAGCTGTGGGGGCTTGAACTAGATTTTCTGGTTTCATATCATCAACACTTGATTTTATGATGCCAGATCCTTTGAGCCTGCACACCGACTGAGTAATAGGGAAATCTCATTGAGATTTGAAATGTACCTGCACTATCTACAACATGGCTAATCCATACGTGGATAATGGAGAATTGATTGCATATTATCTTCATTGACATTTGTAGGAAGTTGTAGTCCATGATGTCAAAATAAGTTATGATTATTTGAGTAGGTTGAATTAATACTAAATTTCATACTGTTTCCAGTAAAAAGCAAAACAAAACAACTTGTGTTTATGTACATTTGGAAATTGTGATGGCAGGAAACATTTGGACGAAAATTTTGCCTTAGATCTACACATAAGGAAAGTAGGGAACCAGAATATATTGTCACCAATGTTCTGGAGACTGTTCTAGTGATTTTAACCCTGTTATTAAATATGACATGATAGGGGCGGCTGGCTGGCTCAAGTCAGTCGAACACACGACTCTTGATTGCAGGGTCATGAATTCGAGCCCCATACTGGGCGTAGAGATTACTTAAAAAATAAATACAACACGATGATCATGAGATTCATTTCTCTCATGTTCACCTTTTATCAAATCCTGGTAGAAAATGCCACTGAAAAATCCTATCACAACTTCCATTTATTCAAATCTAACAAACTTATTGTGCCAAGTAATGTCTTAGGCATCGGGGATAGAGCTGTGAAAATACTGGATATGGTCTGTGCTCCCATGAAGCTTCTACTGGGGAGAACTAGACTGTAACATTCTCTTTAACTCTGTAGGTCATGAACAAAGCATGCCTCTTTAGGGACAGGTGAGAGTTGTGTCTCTGAATTTTGGGTATTATGTGGGGAAAAATAGATCTTAGCATATCTCCCTTAGCCACAGCTTACACTATTTTCCCTTCTCGCTGCCTGGGCAGTGTTATTTATACCTTAGACTATACAGCTGGTGAGACAGTAAATTTCGTACCCTCTACATTCTTGAAAAGAATAGAATTTCAGCATTCTTAAGAGAAGTTTGGTTTTCCGTAGAATTTTAAAACGTTCTACATTTCTTGTGTCCAATTTAAATAGGATCCGAGGGGCCCCTGGGTGGCTCAGTCAGTTGAGCATCTGCCTTCGGCTTGGGTCGTGATCTCAGGGTCCTGGGATGGAGCCCTGCATCAGGTTCCCTGCTCAGCAGAGAGTCTGCTTCTCCCTCTGCCCCTCCCCACCCCCCGCTTGTGTTCCCTTTCTCGCTGTGTCTCTCTCTGTCAAATAAATAAAATCTTTTTTTTAAGACTTCCTGTTTAAAAAAATAAATAGGATCAGAAATGATCTCACTAGGAAAAGCGATGGTTTTGTGATGTGTAAGCGCTTTCTATTCATCTTTCTGCTATAGAATTTATCTTGGAGAAAGGTATAGTTTTTAGTAATAAGTAATTTATATATTTTAGTCCTGCAAGTGAGGTAAGGTCTTATGTGCATTATTTCACAGGGGAGATCTGACAGTGCAACTTTCGTATATAGTGCCTGTTGTCAGATGAAAGTAAAATTCTAAAAGTTTATTCACTCAAAACATTTCCTCAGTGCCATATGCAAAGTACCATGTCCCTATCAGCTGATGCAGTTGATGAAGGAAATATATATTCTGTAAGCATATGGTTGGTAACAAAAAGCAACATATTCAAAAGTGAAGGTAGGTAACTGCAACAATTTTACTTGTTTAAAAGTGCATTTAGTAATATCTCCAGGAGATGGCACTGTTGAGTTGTTTTTTTTCTTTTCAAGCCCGTAAGACAATAGACCATTCATCTTTGTGTCACCCAAACAAAGAAATATTCCTCTATAGCCCCTCTTCTTCCCCTAGCTAATCACATGCTACTGGAACTGACTGTCTTGTGATCTACCCCATAGTTGGCATAGATTAAAAAATAATCTGTATTTTAAAAAAATAATCTGACACATGGTAATTAATGGAAAGGAACAAATTGTACACCAGTTTTCAAGCTTTGTCATTTCAGCAGCTGAGAACTTGGAAGACTAGTCTAGTGATTTCACCACCCTGCTCAGATGCCATTCAAAAATATTTTTTCACTTCTCGGGTCTTACCAAGGTTATTCTGGAAAAAATGTAAATTTGTAAATCTTTTTGTTTGCAAATTACTGTGAGTAGAAGGATTTTAATGTAAACATTGGGTTGGGTGCATTGCACCATTTTGCACTACAATGAATAATATATTCTCATTTGGATTTACCTCCAGTTTATAGCTAAAAGTACTTTTTAGTGGCCTTATTTGGGTGTAACGTTTTGTGCACTTAGTATCTATTTGCAACCTTTTCTACTGAACAACTTCTAGCATTCCGAAGGGATGGAGTCAGTAAAGTTAAGATTCAAAACTGGTTTTACCTGCACTGCATGTTCTAAAAGTTAAGTGTGCAGTTTCTGCGATAAAGGGAACAGCACTGGGGTTTTGTTTTATTGATTAGAGGCAGGGTGCTAATTTAGGGGGCATCATATACTCAAAACCAAACTTATGCAATGCACTCACTGCAGGGTTAAGGCACTTTGGTAAAGAAAGACGTGCGCCTACCTATGAAATGATCGTGTCTAAAATAGGCAGTGGGGAATTCCCTTGCCCCTTTTACCTACCCCTGATTTCTGAGCTACTTGGTAAGTCCGGGGAAACCAATAAGCAATTCTGCCTTTGGCCTAACTCCCTGCAGAAGAGGAAAGTGAGTGAGACCATACGTGGTGGAGTGGAGGATTCTTCAAGCTTGCATGAGTCACGGATGTTCTGATGTCTATCTGCCTCCGTAGGACTAGCCCACACAGTTCGCATTTACTTTTCTGGCAGCGAGGCAGGCTGCTTCATTAGACAATGGGTGCTCCAGTATGCGAGGGTTAAAAACCTGAAGCACCGGTTCATGACGAAGCCCCCTTTTCCAGCTGAGGGAGCTGAGGGATTCCCTTAGGAGATTTTCCAGGCGCTGCCGCAACCCAAGGAATTTTAGGGGTGTCTGTGGGAGAGGCGGGGTAGGGGGAATAACCCGGTCCCCAACCTGAGGGTGCCGGAGGGACCAGCGAGGGGTCCGGGCGTCACGAGCAGGGGGCTTCGCGGGAGGCGGGGGAAGCTCCTACGCTAACTCTGGAAGCCCGGGCCCGGAGACGCCAGGCGATGGGGGGATGACCTCAGCGGTCTTTTGCCACGTTCCAGCCAATCAGTCCCGCATCTTGGCATCCGAATCCAGGACCCCCGAAGCCGGAAGCGACGCGAGCCAATGAGGAGTGGACCGGGGAAGAAGGACAGGCGGCCAGCCTATGGGGGCGGAGAGGCCCGGCTGCGCGTATCCAAGGAGCGCCGGGCTCCGGTGGGGGGTGTGGCGCGCCGCCGGCTGGGGTGGGCGGGCGCGCCGGGCGGCAGGTGTCGGCGGCGTCGGCATTCGGCGGCGATGGAGCGGCCCCTGGGAGCTGCGGACTGCCTCTCGCGCTGGCCCCACGGCCTCGGCCTCCTCCTCCTCCTCCTCCTCCAGCTGCTGCCGCCGGCGACCCTCGGCCAGGACCGGCTGGACGCGCCGCCGCCGCCCGCTGCGCCGCTGTCGCGCTGGTCCGGCCCCGTCGGGGTGAGCTGGGGGCTGCGCGCGGCCGCGCCCGGGGGCCCGGTTCCCCGCGGCGGCCGTTGGCGCCGCAGCGCGCTCGAGGAGGACCAGGACTGCGGCCGGGTCCGGGACTTCGTCGCCAAGCTGGCCAACAACACGCACCAGGTGAGCGGGCGCCGGGTCCGGGCGTCGCCCGGACTGCGAGGTGCCGCCCCCGGGCCCCCCGGCGGCCGCCTGCCCCGCCCGCGCGGCCCGTCCCTCCTTCTCCGTCCGCGCGCCTTGCGTCTCCGCGGGGGAGACCCGGGCCGCTCGCCGGCCCCGCGCCGCCCGCGCCCCCCCGCCCCCGGCCGCGGCCCCGAAACTGCGGCGGTCGGAGTCCGGCCCGGAGCGGCCCCCGGGACGCCGCGGCCCGCGCGGCTGTTTCGTCACAGGGGAGGCCGCCTTAGACTTTCACGGCATTCTTTTTCCTTTTTTTTTTTTTTAAGTTGTCAAAATCTCTTGAGGGTCGTTGTTTGGCGTCTGTGTAAATAATCAGGACCCAGTAACGCTATAACGCACTAGCAGGCTGGAGGAATAATTACCTTTTAAGTGCTTGGAGAAGTTGCGTTGCGCAGAAGCAAAGGTGTGTCCTCGCTGGGTCAGTACTTTCAGGGTGGGTAGGCGGGTGTTCAGAAATCCCACAGCAGCTCTTAGGTTACTGTGTGTATTTTAATAGGTTAAGGAACAAGCTTGGAAATGGGATGACAGTATATATGTGATCTCTCTTCCGCCTTCAGTTTGACCTTCGATCCTGGCATTGGACTCTGACCAGGTTGTCTTCATCCCGTTGTAA